GCAAGCTGAGGGTGGGAAGGGCTGGAGTAGCAGCGTGTTCGTAATGACTTGGAGCTGAGCTTGTTGTCTTCGGCTTGACCTCTCCACATCAGTGTGTTGGTTCTTATAGGAGTGCTCAAGTTTGTCACAGTGTGTCCCAGATAATTTTGCTCTTTGTCAAACCCTGCCTCATCCCTGTGTCAGAGGTATGCTATTTGGATGTGTGTGAGTGTTCCCGGGCTCTGTGCGTGGCTGCCAACATTGTCCTCACTGGAACATGGATGAGGTGAACAGCCAAGGAGAGGAAAAAATGAGGCTTACCCTGATCTACTGGCTGAGATGTTAGATCAGCGCTTTTCTGGTGTCTTGAAAAGGTTTGGGGAATTGTCTTTATGCTCTCCCTGGCACACTGAGTGTCCGTTTCCAACCCAGCACTCCCTCAGGTTTGGGGTTGGCCTCGTAGGAAATCCAGGGTTTCCAAAGGTTCGTGTTTCCAGCAGCCCAGCAGAAGTGCCCCTGAGAGTCAACTCCTCTCGGGGCCCAGTTTGAGCTGTTGATGTGCTGCTTGGGCTGACCCATAATCTTACCAATTTTTTTCCATTTGTTTTTTTGTGTTTTTTTTTCCACTTTTTTAATGTTACTGTTCACTTACAAACCTGCCAAAGGCTTAATACAAATCATGCCTCTCATCTCCATGATCTGTTGCACTCGGGTACCAGCTGGCTTCTAGTGGTGGGAAGGGTTTATCCTGCAATGGGTTTATTCTGTGCTCTGTGTTGTGGGGCTGACTGTGGCCATCACACTCAGTTCCCTCTGTGTCCCCTCTGGCTCTTGGAAGCCTTTCACCAGGTTTCAGAGGGATGGGAGCATTCTTGGGGGTCTTAGTGTGGTGGGAGGCTTTGCCATACCTTGGCAGCCTAGAAGTGTGATTGCTGCCAGCATCTCACGTGGCCTGAGGATAACGAACAGTTGTGGCTGTGATATGGGTTGATTGATTTAGAAACATTACAGAAGGCAGTTTGCCAGATGTTCTGGTTACAGATGTTCCCTCTCTCTTCTGGATTAGCAGTCCTGCAGCCTATCTTGACCATTGCTGTGCTCCTTACTTTGCCAAGGAATTTTGTTTTCTCCAGGATCCTCGCCAGTGTGTTTCAGAAGAGCTGAGGAAATCAGATTTCCTGCATTTTCTATCCCGATTCTGCATTTTAAATAACAGGACTGCTCACAGTGGAAGCTCCTTCTTCTGAGCAGAAGTTAAGGTTTTGGGGTTGGGTGCTGAAGAAATAATTATCTAATGTGGAAAACATAATTGGCATTCAGTTTAAAGCTGGAATTCCAGGCCTGTGAATCCCCCCATGATGAACAGGACGGATGCAGCTCATACTGATGCTGCTGACCAGAAGATTGCTGGTGAAGGGCTGTGGGTTTTGATCTGGGTTGTAGGTGTTGCACTGGGCGTTAGCAGAGCTGTGTTGGGTTTGGGTTTGCTGGGGACCCGCTGTCCCCACCCCTGCTGTGTGAGCAGGCTGGGTCGGAGGGAGAGGGGGAGGGCAGAGGGTGTTGGGATCAAACAGTGCATGGTTGCCTGTCCCACGTGGGGCTGGTCTGCAGCTCCACTGCGCAGGCGGGGGGAGATGGATGCCCTCCGAGTGCTCCTACTGTTCCCTAGGCAGCAGGCTTGAAGGGTGGAAAAAGGCTTTGCTGCCTGCCTGTGTTTGTTCCTGGTTCGATGAAAAGGCATTTAACTGAGAGGAGAGTGCCATGAAATGTGGCAGCAGAGCATAACTGGAAGCAGGGAAGCGATTGCAGGTGCTGTCGGGGCTGTGTCCGTGAGCGCTGACTCCCAGGGGCCCTGGACACTGAACGGTGTCCTTCTCTCTACTGTCACATCTGTCTTTGCATTGATGATGTCAGCAGCCCTTCGTTTTGTTTTCTACACAAACCTTTCCCATTCAGCAGCAGCAGCAGCTCCAGGGGTCAGTGTCCATCTCAACTGTTTGTGTGACAGCTCATCGCTGGGTGGCTTTAGGGTCACAGCTCCCCATGTCTGCAGAGCCTGCCCTTTGCTGCCACACGCCGGGGTGGCACTGGCCTGGCTGAACTCCTGCAAGGAGGCTTAGAAGTGTCAAAACAACACATTACAGGCATGGGAAAAACAAAGATATTCTGTTGATGAAGGTCAAAGTGTGCTGGGGATAGAGCTGGACCCCAGCAAACTGGGGACAGAGAGAGTAACAACTGAGGTACTCTGACACCAGTCATTGTGAGACCTTGTTTGCAGTGACAATTTAGTTTCTTTTTCTCCATTCTTTTAGCAGCCATATTTATTTATTTTAAGGGTCTTTCTAGCATTCCCTGTAGAGTGAAACTGTCCTTCATTTTGGGGTTTCTGCATGCTGTGTGTGAGGGCTGATGTCTGTGCAGCAGATGCCCAGAGTCCTGGGGGGGCTCTGGCTGGGCAGAGGCTGCAGTTGTGCCGAGCATCCCCACTGCGTCTCACCCTTCCTCCTCCGCCTGGGGCCTCAGCCCTTCTGGCTCCTGTGTCAGCATCCTCTTGCCTGCAGATGGGCTGGATGCAGGTCAGGAATGAGCTGGAGCACTCCAGCTACTGCAGGGATGGTTACCTGGTTCTCCAGGCAGACTCTGGGAACAGAAAATGGCTTTACTGGTGACCACGTGCCACGTGTCGAGTCCCTCGCCGTGCCTGGGTGTGAGCCTTGGAGGTGTTTTTATGAACAATTGTGCTGTCCTCTCATAATGTATCAAGAACATAAAGAAAGTGCCCAGGGAGGGTCCCACATAAGGTGAGTGATGAATTTTGGTGCTTTCAGCATTCCTTATTTCCATGAGTTTTGATTTTAGGTGCCCTTTGTGAAGCCTCCAGTCCCATCACTGCCACCATTAAATGACCCAGTGATGAGTTACCTGCCAGGCTTCCAGAGCTCAGGCTCACATGAGAGTTGTTGTATGAAGAAATGTTGAAAAATACCAGATTGCCAGGTTACGATAATGGCAGTTTTAACCTCCTCTACATGAGAGCCTCACAAATTTACGGAGCTCAAAATAGTTCATAAATCTTTGGTGATTTCAGTCAGTGCTTTGCATCACCATTACATCATCATTTATTAATTCACCGTCCAGCATGAAGTGATGATTGTGTAGACAGGATCTTGCAGTGGTGAGGCTGTGGGACAGCACAGTGCTGGCAGGGACTGGCAGGGCCTGCCTTGTGTGCGTGTGTGTAATATGTGGGCACTGAGGATTATTCCAGGCACAGGAATGACACCTCTGTGTTGCCTCGATGCGGGTCACTGAGTGTCCCAGTGACCATGGCAGCCATTTCAGGCGGTGCAGGTATTTTTAGTTGCTGGGGGTTTTGTGAGTAAGGTACCATTTGTCATCCTACCATGCTGAATTTGCAGAAGGAGCCAAAGATGAACTCTGGAAAGCAAAGTGTCTCAAGGAGCTGTCTCACCTCTGCCACGGGGTGTGTGGCAGTGGGGGGCGTGGGGCTGCGCTCCCCTCTCCTCGTGGGCTCTGGGAACAGGCAGGCAGCATATGGACCTGTTCCATCAGCCCACCCCTGCAATTCCGGCTCCTCTGATCCCTCCGCTGCACAGCTGCTCCCTGAAGCCAGCTCAGCCCAATTGTTCTCACTTTGAATAGATTTTCCTACCGTCTAGTCTCGTTTTTCCTCCTGTTTCCAGCTCTCCACACCCCCTCCCATGGGGCTCCCCATCCCTCCGGGCAGAGCCCAGCTGCTGCTCCAAGAAGAGCAAGCGGCTCCTGCAGAAGTGTCCCGGCCACATGGGCTTCTGAGAGCTGCAGAAACCCTGCCTGGGGCTGGAAGGGTTGGGAAAGGTTTGGAAGGGTTGGGAGGGTGTATTTCCGTTGTGCCCTGTGCCACAGGTGCTGTGCTGCTCTTCTTGCAGACAGGGTGAGGGTCTGGCTGTGTCCTTGAGCAGCGCTCCCTTCCCAGTGCCTGCCTGTCTTCCTGAGATCAGCTCTGTGCTGGGGATTTGCAGCTTGACTGTGTGATATGATATGAGGGAGCTGGAAAAAATGCAATTGGTCTTTGACCATGGGAGAGAACTGTCCTCAAAATGGGGAGGATCAAGGTGAAAAGTACAACTCTGGCATAGAAAGAGGAGAAACGTTAAACTGTTCCAATAATCGGGGTGTGCTGAACAGGAGTGTGCTGTGCCCAAGGTTGTGGGTTCTGGCAGGGCCAGGTGAGGGTCAGCACTGGAGACCAACTCTGTTTGCTGCTCCTGGAGTGCCTGTTCCCTGCAGGACCCAGTGGGTACCTGGGCTCCTGTGGGAGACACTGGCTATCCAAGGAGCCCATCCCCACTCCCACACAGGCACCTCCGGACACTGCCGAGCCCACTTTGGGAAAGATCGAGGGGGCTGCAGTGTGTCTGGCCCAGTGAATGAAGGTCCCTATGGGAAAGCAAATAAACCTGGAACAGATGAAGCTCGTGGTGTTTGTGAGCTGGGATTTGAAGGGTCCAAAAGACTTTTTAAGCCTTTGAGCCAAAGCCACATTGGATTTGCTGATTAACCCGGCAGTGTGGGAGGATGGGGTGAAAGGAGGGTGCATGGCAGTGCCTGCTTCCTCCAGGTCAGTGCTGGCTGTCCTGTAGGTCTTCACATGGGCATTTATCAAGAAATAATATATTAGCTTATATGCAAAGAGTACGGGATTTCAGGTAGTACCAGATAGATTGAAGTAGCATTTGCTGAATTCAGAAGGCAATTGAAAGCTCTGAAGTTGCTCTTGGTGCTCCTATGCAGCTGTTTGTTTTGACAAGAATGAGGTTTAATATGAGGCTGGTCAATGGAATTGTTCAGCTCTTGCTTGGCAAGAAGATCTGTCACCTTTAGCAAAGCCTGGATTCACCCCAGGGCTCAGAAGGAGCTCCAGCAGAGCTGTGCTGTTTGCTCTGGGACAAGGAAGGACAGCTCTCCTGCCAGTGTCTGCTGCTGACATTGTGTTTTGTTCTCTCTTGTGTGTCTGCAGAAATCCGAACGCAGCTGGTGGAGCAGTTCAAATGCCTGGAGCAGCAGTCGGAGTCGCGCCTGCAGCTGCTGCAGGACCTGCAGGAGTTCTTCCGCAGGAAGGCCGAGATTGAGCTGGAGTACTCCCGGAGCCTGGAGAAGCTGGCTGAACGCTTCTCCTCCAAGATCCGCAGTTCCAGAGAGCACCAGTTCAAGTAAGCAGGTGTTCCCGGGGCAGACTGGTGTGAAATGGTTGGCTGGAGGCTGCTGCGAGCACTGGAGGTTGGTTTGTAGCTGCACAGTCCTAAAGTGCAGTACAGTCCATCAGGTGACCTCCTCTGTCTTGTCCCCAGGCAGGGCTCACCAGAAGAACTGGACATGTCTCTTGCCAAGACTTCCACCACAGCATTACTGGTCTGTGCTGCCTGAATTGCACTTACTATGCCCTTCTTGAGTAAGACAGTAAAAATAGGAATCAGGGGCCAGGAAGGAGTCAAACCCCTTGATTTTTTGAAGGAGCTTGAATTCATCCACTCGTTTGACTGTGCAAATTGCGGTGGGCCCGGTCTTTACCCCTGGTTTCTGCATGTAGCCCAGTCCTCAGCTCTCCAGGAGCTGTGTGTTGCACTCAGGCTCGCTGACAGGCTCAGGCTTGGAAGCAGTTTCTGGAAATTGAATTTACTGCAATTTATTTGCAGTGAAGCATGTGTGTTTTCTGTACACAGCCTGCGGTGCTGGAGCCAAGCACATCCTTAATGGAAATATTGTGAAACAAAGCTTTGAAATAGGAAGTATGAACTGGATGCTGGGATTGTGTGAGAATGAAACCGATGATGCAAATTGTGAAATCTGTGGATGTGTGAATATGTGTTTTCAAAAGCAGCTTCTTTTCAGTTTAACCATACTCTCGAGCTTGGTTAAACAAGAAAATATCTGAAAAAAATAGAAAGCAAAACAAACTTGAGGCGGAATTTCATTCTGGAGGTGAGCACTCTGTGGTGAGGGTGCTGGCTGGTGTGTTCCACTGGCTGGTGACCTCAGGGCTCAGGTGAAGGCCACTGCCCTGTTGCTGCTGGGGGCTGGTCCCTGCTCCCCACCCGTCCCCGAGTGTGCCGGCTCGGACAACGCTCGATGCTTGCACGGGCTGTTAGTGGCTGTCAGGGTTTCTTGTGTCCCTTGCCATGAGCAGCTCTCCTGGTGCTGTCGGGGCACAGGATCTCTCTGGGCAGCACTGGCGGAGCCGTGGGATGTGCCCGGCAGGATCTGTGCCCGGGGCCACATGGCAGCCCCTGCAGCACCCTGGCTGCTCCCCTGCACCACGGCAGCCCCAGCTCCCCACCTTTGCCTTCCTGGGCTGCAGCAAGGCCTCTGACTCTTCTTCTGCCAGTGATGTCCATGACAGAATCTCTCAACTGGAATTGTGCCCTTTGCTCCAGATGAAACTCGTGCCATTCAGTTCAGTGGCCAAAGACTGCAGCCACTGTTCAGCGCCTTTCCCAGAGAACCTGGGAGAGGTTTGCCTGTCTGATGCCCTTCGCCTCGCCAGCCCTGGGCTCTTCACAGTCTGTTTCTTCCTTTAACTCCTTGTGATTTTTTTTCCCATTTCAGCTGCAAGAGCAGTGATTTCTGCTGTTACGTTACTAAATCCTATTTATTCTATATTACTAAATCCCATTTAATCTGTTTACTTGGTCTCTCCAGCGAGTGAGGCTTTGCTGGTGTCTTATGCCAAACTCTGCTGCTGCTGAGTTGCCATTCAGATCCTTGCTGTCCTCTTGGCATGCAGCTGTTGTGTGTCAGTTGTGTGGTGCTGTGTGCTGTGTCAGGGATAACTGTCCTGGAGAAGGAATTGGCCAGGAAGGAGCTGTGGTTCAGAGATGAGCTCACGAAGGATCGGGGGGTGTCTGGTCTCTCCCACTAGCTCAGAGCAGTGTTAAGGCTCTCCATTGCTTGGTGTGCTCACAGTTCTGGAAGCTGCTGCTGTGCAGTGTCCACAGGTGACAGTGATTGTCCACCTTTATTAAACACCTGGGCACAAGTGCTGGCGGTGATGGTGTTAATTGGGTCAACTGGATTTCAGCGCTTGCTCCTGCTGAGTCCTCACTGCCCGCTCCATGTTGAGAGACTCCCTTCATACACTTTGTTCTTCCTTGCTGCTTTGTACCTGCCCTTACCAGGCTCATCTGTGCTGTTTCCCCAGCTGCTCATGTGTGTCATTATTCTGCTGAGGCTGTGACACTCATAAGAATTACAGTCCCTGTGGTGCTCCTTTGTCCCTGTGTCGCCGTGTGCAGCGGGCTGTGCCCAGCCCTGGAGCTGGCAATCACTGTGCTGCTGCGGCTCCTGCTGATTCCAGTTCACATCCAGGTTCATCCAGATTTCTGTATGTGGTTGTTCTGTCTGTGTATGCACACAGAGGTGTTCTGGAGTCCCCTCCAGCACACCTGAGCGTGTTCGTGTTGTGCACAGACACTTGGGGGTAACATTGGATGCAGAACCCTTTCTTGAACACTTTTGAGTGCACTAAAAGCAGCCCAGTGGATTGGGTGGCAAACGGGACCTCCTGCAGTGGGCACTGACAGTCATATTTCATAGCATGAGTGGAAAGAAAAAGCCGAACTCTCCTTGCCAGGGATGTCTCTTCTCCTGTGCCACCTTCCAGAGCACCCAGTGCAGGAAGGGGCTGGCTGACTGGGGGGCTGGTGTGGTTCCCATGCTCGTGTGCCACTGGACGTCCCTGTGGGGCAGCGCTTGGACAGCTGGAAGAAGAGATCATGCACCTTTCTGTGGGCATGCCAGATCCCAGGGGATGTGTGCGAGGGAGGGAGGTGGTGTGCTGGCAGCATTCATTTGAAAATATGTGCCTTTTTGACTTGTTCACTTGACCTTTGTCGTTTTTCCCCCCAATTCCCCAGAAAAGATCAGCACCTCCTTTCCCCTGTGAACTGCTGGTACCTGGTCCTGACGCAGACCCGGCGGGAGAGCCGCGACCACGCCACCCTGAACGACATTTTCATGAACAACGTCATCGTGCGGCTGTCGCAGATCAGCGAGGATGTCATCAGGCTCTTCAAAAAGGTAACCCGGGCAGCTGGGGGGAGTCCTGCTCACTCAGGGTCCATCCTGGCATTTTAATCTGAAGTGGAACCATCATAGATGTTGCAGAGCAAATCTTCTGAGGGACTATCACTATAAGTCTTTCCAGATAATATTTATTCAAGAGTTTTAAAGAAACAGATCTAGAACTGCCAAGTGACAAGCAGTGAGGTGTGACCTGGTGCTCAAAGTGGTGTCGGCGCCGGAGAGATGAAAGGTGGAACTGAGATGACTTTTTCTAAAGACTCTTGGAGGCCTTCACTGGACAGATCAGAACAGGCTTGTTGGGTGGAACCGTGGTAAAGAGCAGGATGACAGGCATGAGGCAGCTACAGGAGAGGAGTCATGGCTTCCTGAAGGGAAGAGTCATGCCTCAGAAATCTGGTGGAGGTATTTCCAGGAGCCAGGGATCGTGTCAGTAGCTGGCACAGTGCCTTCAGTGGGCAAGATTGAAGTTCCTGAAGAGCTGTTGAAGAGTAAGGTGTGGTTGTTTTCTGTATTAATGACTGACTAAAAGACAGGGAACAAAAGGAAGGAGAATGTCAGTGCAGTTCCTAAAAAATTATTTGGAAAAAGGGTAAAGGGTAAGATGACAGATACAGAATTATTGATAATAACCAAATAAAAAGAAGCATCATATACCTGTGGGAATCTCACAGTCAGGTGGACCAGGACTCTTCACTGAAAGCGAGGGGGAGTGTGGTAAGGAATGAAGAGTCCCAGCAGTGGGTTGGCTCTGTGACTTTAAGGTTTTCCTTAATTTTTGTCCCTTGCCACCAGGACATCTGGAGCCTGCAGTCAGGGAGCAGGGCAAGCCCACAGGGCTCTCCAGCAGGGGAAGGCTCATAATCAGGGCTTATCTTGAAATTTCAGCCTGACTGGAGAGTAAATCTCATGTGATATTTTTATGGCCAGTTTCCTCTATTTTATAGATCTGACCTAGAAATTAAACTGCAAGGTCAGGCTTGGGTTTGCTGATCTGATATAGGGCATCATCCCTTTTCCTGTCCTTCAGGCCTCTAGAAATTTGAGACATTTGGGATATATTGGTTAGTTCAGTTCTAAGCCTGTCTCAAAGTCTTCCTGCCATTTGCATTTTGCTCTGAACCTGTTTTTGAGATGTATGTTAAGACTGTCCTTCTGCCCATGTGTGTGGATGGTGTCCCATGCGGAACTACAGGACAAATCCAGTCAGCATTCAAACAAGGACACCCATGGAGTGTTCAGTGTTCTCTCATAGTAGGTCAGTCCTCAGCCAGGACAAGATGACAAAGTATTTTACCCACTCAGCAGAATTATTTCTTTGTAATTGGTTTTCTTCTGTCTCTCCCTCCTCATTTTTGAACCTAAATTTCAGCTTTTAAGGCTCAACCCTTACATCCTATAGAAATGGTTGCTCCTTGTTTCTCCCTCCTCCATGTCCATCTTCTAACTGGGGAGCTGGTGTGACTCCATCTGCAGCCTGCCAGAGCCAGCACCAGCTTTGCATCCAAAGGAGCCTTTACAGGTGTGAGGATCTCTGATTTCACCACATCTGACCCTTGGACTCACCTGTCCCTGGAAATAATGCTCAGCTAAATCAGGGAAAAGGCTTATTTTGTGTCATCGTTTCCCTTTCATGTGGATGGAGAGGCTGCCACTTTTGGGGTTGTTCAGGCTGTTTATTTTTCTCAACCTGTGGCACGCCTTGCTGGGATCCAGAGGGATCTGGATCCCACTTCCCAGTAGTGTTTGGTGGGATGCCTTGGGCATGTGTGTAGGAATAGGAGCATCCTGGTAAATGGATTTTGAAGACATCCCTCCAGCCTTGCAGTGTACGAGGTTGCTCAGAGGAGGGATCTTTCACTGTTCTCTCTGGTCTGGTTCTGTGCTGAGTAAGTGCTCAGAGTGCTTCTCTGGGGAGGCTGTGCCCACGGGGCTGCTGGCAGATGATCTGGCTCAGGAAGGGTTAAAGCACCCACAGTTGTGGTTCAGCTGCTGGGTGTGCTGGAGATTGTTCTTTGATGGTAAATTAGGGTAACATTTTTTTCCAGAGATGTCACTTTTAATTCCCCCCACCTAGAGTTTATTAACGGGCTGTGACATGCTGTGGGGACACGGGGAACTGGGAGGTTTTGTGTTTCCTTCGTTCATTATGTAAATGTAAACAATCCCAGCAAAGCAGCGGGGAGGGACTGCTGAGGTACAGGGTGAGCATAACTGAGGAGCAATTGCTCAGTGCCATGGCAGTGTGCCAAGAAAGATGCAGAGTGCTGAGCTGCTGCTCCCTCAGCTGCCCTGGATGAGCTGGGGGGGCTGTTCCTCAGTAAATTGGGGCACTGCAGTTTGTTCCTCTCCACCCAAGTGTTCTGCCCTCCGCCGACAGTCCGGGCATTGGCTCTGACTCGCCTCTCACTGTGGCTGGCCAGGAACCCTTCCAACCCAAACTGCTCTGGGAGCAACGCAGAGGAAGAAAACTCAATTGGGCAAGTTTCCCTGGAGCTTCCAGTGTGAGTCACATTCCTGGTGCAGGAGGCAATGATCAAAGCGAGTGTGTTGATGTTGCTAATAGGCAGTGATAAATGGGGATGCTGAGATGTGTCCCTGCAGAGAGCTGGCTCGATCTGCTGTCAGGGTGAGTCTCTGTCACCACGAAATCTCCCAGCACATCCTCCTGGCAGAGCCAAACCCAGGCTGAGGGACCCATGGCCAGGCAGGTGTTTTCTCCCCTCTTACCTCTCGCTGTGGTGGAAAGAAGGAAGTTTAAAGCTTCTTCCAAGTACAGAATACAGGAAATTGTAGATTTGAGACAGAGCATCACTATGTCCAAAGTAATGATGCTGCGTTAGTCCCCAGTTTGGGATTTAATTCCATGCTGTGACTGTAAATTTAATTCTGGGCCGTGGTGTCCAAGATGGACGTTGGGTGAAGAAGTGGTGTCTATCTGGATGGGAACTCTTGTCTTTGTCTGTAGAATAAGCATCCTCCACTACCAGTCATCCATGCTTCTGCTTCCTGTTACTTTGTTGGCAGTGGCAGGAATTTTAATAAACTGCTAACCTGAAACCATTGCTGTCCCAGTGAGGAGCAGTGTTTTCGGAGGAATTGGAGGCATAAAGGAAGCAGCTAAATTGGAGTTTGGGTTTTGCAGATGGTCCCAGGTAAGTGGAATGATGTTTTGGTGTTGACTTCTGTAAGCCCATACATGTAATTTCTCCCTTAGAGAAAGGGCAGGCAGCAGGCTCAGAGAAGTGGCGAGTCCTTCAGCTGCTCACCTGCCTGCGGTTGGAAGAGGCTCCAGCATCCCCCGGCTGGACATTGCTCTCTTGGACGCTGGAAGACTCCTGACAATGCCAGAGACCCTTTGGTCTCCTGCAGCAGGATTCTGGGTGTTGGTTTATAGTGTCTATAAGCAAATGGCTCTTTAAACATGGTTCCTACCCATGGTCCCCCGTGTCAGTGTGGCTCACGGAATGACACACTGAGCCAGTTTGTGTTGCTCTATTTAGGAGTCTAAAATTGGGCTTGGAAATTACAGCTTTGTGGCCTTGCTGTGCACCATGCAGGAAATCCAGGGCATAGGCAGCAGCTGCAGCTGAGCTTGGGCCATGGCTCTTGCTACCAACCCATCCTGTCCTCCTCTGCTGGCTTTGGGAAGCCTTGGTTTGGGGACTGGGCAGTGACTTGTGGAAGCAGGAATGGCTGGAGGGGCTGTGTGTGACTCAGCTCCTGCAGGCTCTAGGCTCTGAGACCCCTGTTTGTAGACCCTGACTGAAATAACTTGTATTGGAATCACAGAATCATTTGAGTTGGAAAAGCCCTCTGAGACTGCCAGGTCCAACTGTTCCCCCAGCACTGCCCAGCCCACCATTAACCCACGTCCCCAGGAGCCACATCCACGTGGCTTTTACATCCCTCCAGGAATGGTGACTCCACCACTGCCCTGGGCAGCTGGGCCAGGGCTGGGAAGCCCTTTCAGGGAAGAAGTTTTCCCTAATATTCAATCTAAACCTCCCCTGGTGCAACTTGAAGCTATTTCCTCTTGTCCTGGCTCTTGTTACCTTGGAACAGAGCTTGACCCCCACCTGGCTTCAACCTCATGTCAGGGAGTTGTAGAGAGTGAGAAGGTCTCCAAACATGTTGTTTCTGTGTCTGGGGGGATGCAGATCTGTCACAGCTCTCTTGGTATTAGCAAGCCTCAGTGAGACTTCTGAGAGCACTGGTGACCACCGGTGTCAGTGGGTAGGAGATGGGGACTGAGGTTCAGTCCAGATGAGGGTTCCAGATGACTGGGCACCGAGCACCTCCTGGTCCTTGGCATCGTCCTGGCACCCCATGCCCGTGGGATTGGGAGCAGTGGCATCAGTCACACTGCTGAGGATGGCACTGTCCCAGATACCCCAGCTCTAGCTCACGGATATGCTGTGGTTACTGGATGGTCATGGATCCGAGGGACTTTGACTCTTCAGATTCTTTACTTCAGGCTTTGCTTTGATTCCCACTTTTAATAATCTAATGTTAAACTTCACAAGGACGTGGGTTGTCCCGTTGGCTGAAAGGACCTCTCTGTGTTGTGGGCCTCTCTCACCACTCAGCCTGATGGGATGTTGTTTTCCCTTCCTGTGTGCACAAAACTGCCTGGAGTTGAGGAAATCTGAAAGAAGCTGCTTGGGTTTGGTTTGGTGGTGTTTTAGGGAGGGAGGAGGGGAGTGTCTATACTTAGTTTAAACACATCTTCAAGCTATAATAAGTGTTCCCTAGCCTAGAGGATTCATTGTGGAGATTTGGGCTGTAATTACAGGGAGGCAGGAAAGCAGTGTGAGCACACCCCCAGCAGCTCCAGAGGTGGGGGTGCGGGAGGAGGTGGCTTGATCTGCAGCCAGGCTCCAACGCTGGGCAGCTCCCCACGCTGTGGCCTCTCTGAGAAGTGCCATGTCCGTGCTTTGCGAGGTTGAGGACTGGATCTGCTTCATCCTGCCTGGCAAGGAAAGGGAAAACACAGACTGATAATGGGATTTCAGCAGACGGGAGGATGCCAGGAGTTACTCACTGGCAATAAGCATCTCCTCAGCTGGCTGAACTTTGGCTGCTGCAGTTGTGAAACTGGAAACTTTATTATATAACTGTGGTGTAGCTATTTTGTAATAAAATGTCCCTTTTCAGAGATACTTTCATTCACTCAGGTCAGAATAGTGAAAATGATCTACTGAGAACAAGCTGGGGAGGGTGAGTCATGGCCAAGGATCATCTAAATCTGGGATGCTGGGGCTGGGGAGCCCTGATAATCCTCCTTCTGAAATACCAGTGTTGGCTGGAAATTGCAAGTCCAGCAGCAAGTGTTTAACATGTCTCATCAGATCAAGACAGGTTGACAGGTGATGCTGTGGGACTGGAGAAAGCCAATCTAAGGGATCTGTGTACCCAGATGGTTATTGGATGATGTAAGTTATACAGGGGAGTTCACGCAGCACTGACACGCAGCCTGCTCAGTTGGAGAATGCAGCAGCCACTCACCCACATGCACCAAGGCAGGTTTTGTTGAAAAATAGGCAAAGTCAAACTCTAAAACACCCCTGGCTGTGGAGCGGGCCCAGCTTTGTGCACTCTGCCAGTCTCGATGTGAAACCAGACCCCAAACTAGGACAGGGTGTTACGTGTTAGACCCACAGCGGGAGTTGTCTGTGGGCTGGAGATAAATTCTGCCAGTGGAAGGGCAAAGCAGTATTGCCTGTAATTTTAGATTGATCCCTTTTGCAGGATAAATAAGTAAAATTGATTGATGTTCTTCCTTGTGGTCTCTGAAACCCAGGTTGGGTGATCCATGGGCAAACATCGACCTCAAATGAAAACGCAGCAGTTCTGAGACAGAACAAGGTTCTGCTGTGTGTTCACAGTTATAATCCCTCCAAAGTATCTTTTCCTTTCAGAACTGCATGTTTTGGGCAGAACAAAGTCTCAATGCTTCTTTCTTTTTGTCTTGCAGAGTAAGGAGATTGGCCTGCAGATGCATGAAGAACTCCTGAAAGTCACCAACGAGCTGTACACGGTGAGCAGTGAGGGGGTGCCCAGCAGTGAGCCCATGCCCAGCAGTGAGGGGTACCCAGCAGTGAGCCCATGCCCAGCAATGAGCCCATGCCCAGCAGAGAGCCCATGCCCAGCAGAGAGCAGTGCCCATGCCTGGCTGGCAGCGCCCGCAGTGCCGCTCGTTGGAGCAGAGTGTGTGTCCAGCCCTGGGGTGGCTCGAGGGGCTCTGTCCTGGCCATCCTGTGGCACACATGGCCTTTTCCATCTGGAGCATTCCACAGTGCTCCAGGGAGCAGGGCTGCTTCCCTCCAGCATCCCTGGGGCTGTCTGGGCAGGATCTGTGTGGTCCCTGTGTCCGTCACACTCTCCCCTCTGCGGCTCCTGCACCGCGTTGCCTTCAGGCCCCTCTCAGTGCCGTGGTTGGTGATTTCCAGGCACTGGTGGCTCTGAGCTGGCTGTGCTTGTTGTTGCTGACACCTGCCCTGCTCCTGTGAGTGCGTGGCCTGGGGGGAACGGATGAACATGACCTTCTGCTGTGGAAGGCAGGAAATGTTTAGCTCATGGATGCTCAGCTCCATCTCCTGCTCTGAGGAGCACTTTGGCTGTGGAGCTGTCTGTGCCTCCTGGTGAGATCGTGCACTGTTAGTCAGGACTTGGCTCTTCAAAAGCAAGTTTTCATAGCAGGACAGTAAAATTCTTTGTGTTGCTTCTGTCTCTTGCCCTGTAGCAACTGCTTTTTAAAAAAAAATATTTTACTTGTGGTTTAGGAGCAACAAAGCAACATGAAGTCTGTCTTGCGTTGAAAAACTGAGACAATATATTTGCTTTCTTTGGTTGTATCTGTTACTGGTATATAAATAACACTGCAACAGGTTTATTCCTAAACAATCATTCCATTCCATCTTTTTGAAAAACAGGCCTAAACAACAGAGCATGAAGGATCGTATTTGAAATTTCTGCCATAAATCTTCTCTTAACAGGCTTGTTCTTGCAATGGCTGTTGAAGGATTTGGTTGTTGTGAGCCCTGCAGTGTGGGTGGACAGCAGATCGGATTAAAAAGCCTGTGTGAGATTTGGGAGTGCATTGTTGATGGTTGAGTGTCACAAGCTCAAGAAGTGGTGACTAATTAAGATTAATTACAACAGCATCTTGACAGGTGCAATACAAGGAAAGACTAACAAGGGCTGGGCTGACCTTAATACCTGCAGGCCAGTGTGCTCTGGACCTGGACACGAGGCAGGGGCATCACCCGAGGGACATGCTGGGGTCAGCAGGGGGGTCAGTGTGCTGAGGTCCAAAGTGTGAGCAGTGGTCAATAGGAGCAGAGAGGGAAATTGTGCTCCTGCTGAGTCTGGGGCTAAACTTGTCCTCACAGGAACTGAGATTTCTCCCATTCACTGCTTTTTTCCATGTGCTGAGCAGAATGGGTTTGAATGGTGAAACACACTGGTTTGAATGTGACACTGGAACAGCTGAAGGAGCTTCGTGTTTGCTTGCTGCTAAGATAACAAACCAATTGTCATCCAGCTGGGAAGGAGCAGGAAAGGGACACACTTCAGAAATGATGATGAAGCATGAAGAAAAATTAGGGCCTGTGGGGCAAACGGGGTCACCTCAAGTCTGCTTGGTGCTGGTCAGAGAGATCTGTCCTTGAGCCAGGTGAAACAGGCCTGGCTGCACCCCTGGCTTGAGGTGCTGGGGGTGGCTGGGGGCACCTTTGGGACCGAGCTGCTGTCAGTGTGGTCAGTGCAGCACGTTGGGTGCCCACGAGAACTGTGACTGCTGATGAGACCAGACACAGGATAAGGACCCGGCTCACAGGACACCAGGATGCTGCTTGAGAAATGTCACTTGTCTGCTCTCAGCACAGGGAAGTCACTTCTCTCGTCTCTGTCCAGGTCTTTAACTGCAGCACATCCGTGCCCTGGCCCAGCTGCTTTTTAAGCCTCTCTGAGGGGAATTCTGTGCACTGGGCAGAAACTATAATTTTTTACAGGCTTCTCAGGCATTCACTGTCTCAAACTTAAGCCAAAGCAACCAAATTGATTTTAGCTCAGTCTTGTTGCTGTTCTGATGCAAGTCACCCTGTGGACTCTGTATGGAAAGAACCAAACCCAACCCATGCTGACTTCAATCAAAAAGGAAGCAGATGACTTTTGTTCTGAAGTGGAGATGCTTGTGAATGGTTTTGCACAGAAACAGTTCAGCTGTGAATTAAAACCAGCTTCATCCTTTTGATTCCTGCTTACAGACTGCAGCAGACAGGTACCAAGTTGGAGCCTGTACAGGCTGGATGTTCATGGGCCTGAGCCTGTGCCTGACAGTCACCCTGTTTTTGCTCTGGCTCCTCTGCTGGGTCAGAACCTTGGGGATGAGCTATTCAGAAGGACAAAGCCCTTGCAGCTGAATACAGCCAACAGTGCCATTTATGGCCGCTATTTTGGCAACAGCCTTTATCCAGAACATGTAATTAATATGGCAAACACAGCTCGTGTTGTTAAATAACTAATGAACATTGGAACATATTTTTCCTCCTCCGCTGCAGCTAATTAACTGATTTGCAGGAAAGCTTCCCGGGCCGCAGCTGTGGCAGTTTGTCTCTGTGACACAGCAGTGCAAGGCAGGGACAGTGTGACTCGATTGCAGGCACTGAGACAGCGCGAGGGAATTGCGGATCGGGCCGATTGCTGCAGTGCACGTTGGCCCCAGCCAAAATCAAGGCACATATTACACAAAAATATCCCCTGAATTTCCAAGCATGACCTGTGTGACAGGGCAGCTGGTGAGGTGCACAGTGAGCTGTTTAAGGTTGGGTAACAGTCCCATAACCTTTAGATTTCACAAAAGTCCTGCAATTTGGATCCCTGTTATTCATTGGGCTTTTCTGTCATGTTGTGTCTGGGCCTCTCTGGGTGCTGCAGAAACCTCTCCTGTTACTGCCTGATGCCCTGATGTGCAACATTTTGCTTTTTCACTTTCCTCTGAGTATTTTATAAAAAGATGGAGATGGTGAGGATAAGGAGGGCTCAGTGAAGCCCTCTGATTGCTCTCCTTGGGAAAATCCTGGGAATTGTCTGGTTTACGTGTGTCCTGTGACATTCGCTGCAGAAACTGCAGTTTGCAATACATGGCTGGAATGTGCATTATAATTTGCAGGGTTTTGCAATGAAGTAGCTCAGGGCCAGGGCAGGAGCCTTTGCTCACTGTCCCTTGCCATTGCCTGCAGTCACATCTCCCCGCGGTGGCACATCCTGTGTGGCTCCCATGCAGCATTTGGAGCCCGTTTCAGCCGAGGTTTGTGCTTGGCAGGAGGAGGGATCATGCGGCTCAGCCTGACCTGCTCCAAGTCAAACACTCCTGGGTCCTGCTGGCAGCCACAACTGAGGAAAACTCTGTGTTTTCTTCATTAAACCTTGTGTAAAATTACTCTGCCTTTGTGGGTTCCTGCTCTGTCTTAACCCATGAGGCTCAGGCAGCCCATCCCGGGGTGTCCCAGCCCATCCCGGGGTGTCCCAGCCCTTCCCAGTGTGTCCCAGCCCTTCCCAGTGTGTCCCAGCCCATCTCAGTGAGTCCCAGCCCTGCTGAGGCTGATCCCAGTGAGCAGTCGGGCCCCGCAGGCTGTGTCAAGGCAGTGTGAGATGAACCATCCACATCCCAGAGGGAGATGATGGAAGGGGACAGTGTGACTGAAGGCATAAAGAGAGAGAAGCAGTTGGGTTCCTCTTGCCAGCTTCATTAAAATGATCCCAGTGTGCCCTTTGGGCCCTTGTATCTGAAAGGGAAAGCTGGAAGGGTGGAAGTTTTACCTGCAGAGAGTGTTCCTGGCAGTGGATCAGCATCATCCCTCCTGGATCTGGAATGTGAAGGACACAGTGCTGCTGCACCCACCGGTGCTGCCTGTGCCTGCTGGCGGCAACAAGAGAAGGATGAGGTGGTGACAGGAGACAAACCCCATTTTTGTTTGGGAATTGCAGCTCCTCTACTTCTGGATGGTCCTGCTGTCAGGGTGGTGGAGAAGGGGCTGTGTGATGTCTTAGCAAGTCCAAGTGGAGGAACAAATGTGTTGGGTCAAAAGGGAGTTCAGGGTCACTGTGGCCTCCTCACAGTCACTTGTCATGGAGACCCTTATCCCAACTGCAAAGCACTGGAGGTTATTCCTTGTTTCCCTGTTGGCAGACACAGTGTGCTTTGACTGCAGGTGTGTGCTGGGGACATGTCTCAGCCTGTCCGCACAGCAGGACCGAGCTGGATCGTGGTTCTTACACCAACCTGGAGCTGCTGGAAGTAGAGCTGGGGATGGGGTTAATCTCACAGGCTTTCCCTCCCCATCTTGCTCCTTAGTGCTGTAGTGGCCTCCACAGCCCCTCTGCACTGCCCGTGGCTGTGGCTTCCCCTGCTCTGGTGCTCCTGTGGCCACGGGCAGGCGGCTCACGACCTCCTGTGTCTGCAGGTGATGAAGACCTACCACATGTACCACGCAGAGAGCATCAGCGCCGAGAGCAAGCTGAAGGAGGCGGAGAAGCAGGAGGAGAAGCAGTTCAACAAGTCAGGGGATATCAGCGTGAACCTGCTGCGGCACGAGGACCGGCCTCAGCGGCGCAGCTCCGTCAAGAAGATTGAGAAGATGAAAGAGAAGGTGGGTGAGAGGGAACGAGTGGAGAAGCCTGGCTGGGGTCTGGGCTCTTTGTGGGCAGGGTGTTGGCTCCAGCCCTGTCCATGTCCATGCAACCATTGCTGTACCCATGGGAAGGGGTTAGGGAGGACGTTGACTCGTGTGCGTGTTCTGCTGAAGGGCAGCCTGGGGAGGCCATCAGGAGTCTCTTCCCTGCACCTGACCATGGAGAAGTGCCAGGAACAGCTCCTGTCAAGGAATTGATCCAAAGTCAGGCTGACCCAACAAGGACAAGGGACACCAAGTGTTGGAGGGGTTGGGGGACCTGCACGGGAGCCACGTGGCCACCAGTGACACCTTCCCGGCTGGCTCTCTGGGGGAGGGCAGAGACGGGTGGCTGGAGGGGCCTGGGGGCGATGGCTCGTGGAGCACAGGGCAGGCAGAGGTGGTGGGAGCACCTCCTCCAGCAGCTCTTGAGCTGGGGCTTGCTGGGGGCTTGGCTGTGCCAGCTGGGGCCCTGGAGGCTGCACTGAGGAGGGCAGTGCCTTGGGCTCTCTGGCTTGGCTCAAGATGCATTGTGATCCAGACACTGGACCCTGCTCTGAGGAGTTGGGGCTTGTCCATGACTGATTCTTTAAAAAAAGTATTTTTAAAAATGAACAGCAGCCCCAGCGTTCCCTCAGTCACAGACTCCTGACAGCAAAAAAAGGGTCGATCTATAAAATACCAGTGTTCTTCCTCTGTGGGCTGTCTGGGAGGGAAAGTGCAGGATTTAGATGGCTTTGCTAGGCAAAAGACTTCACACCATTCCAGCCTCAGCAAATCTCCCCGGCCTCAGGATCTCCACAACTGCAGTTTTTGTGTTAATTTTGGAGAAGAAGCAATAGCTTCCCCAGCCATGCTGCATTTGCTCACAGGCTGGGACATGTGTAGCAGTGCAGTTCTTGGAAGGGTTAATCTTTTGACTCAACCTTTGGAGCAGGGATCTGCCTCAACAGATGTCCCGGATCTGGAGCACATCTGCTTTCCCACAGAGTTTTGAATTCTGGGTCCTGTTCTAAATTGTGTTGCTTGGGCCTCTAGGCCAGATTCCACTTTGATACAGCTGCACACATCTGGAGCAAGTCCAAACATATGTCAGTATTTCTGCAGGGGAAATCTGTCCCTCTGATTTTGACTGATGCCAAAACCCCCCCGAAGGTGCAGCTGAAGGAGCAGCAGCAGCAGCTGTGCTCGGGGGCTCCAGGTACCTCTGAGCAGGACACACTTGTCATGGCCTGACTGGCTGTGCCAGGGATGTTCACATGGGATCTTCACCCTGGCAAGATCCCTGTTTTGTCTCAAATACCAAATTTTATTAATTCTCTCATCACACCCAGTCTGCAGGGTGCTGTGGGGCCCCATGGCAGGAGAAACTGTGCCAATACCATCCTGTTTGTGCTCTGACTCTGCTTTGCTTTTCCAGAGACAAGCCAAGTATTCTGAAAACAAGCTGAAGTGTACTAAAGCCAGGAACGACTACCTGCTGAACCTGGCGGCCACCAACGCCGCCGTCAGCAAGTACTACATCCACGATGTGTCCGACCTCATCGACGTGAGTGCTCCCTCCCCTGTGCCCCCCAGCCTGGCTGGGCCCCTAACTGACATGGGGGGGTGTCAGGGGGTCTTTAAAATACACTTAACTGGGGCTGAAGATGTGCTGTAACTCAGATCTGTCTTGGGATGAGCCAGGCGAGCCCATCAGTTGGTCTGTATTTGAGGCAGAAACACTTGCCAAGGTCAGACAGCCTTGGTTTTGGTGCTGAAACAGAAGGTTTTTTCTTTCTACTACTTGGTAGCTTTGGTGGCAGTTCAGTACATGTGGAAGTTCTGTCCTGGCTGAGGAAGGTGCCTTGGGAGCTTTATCCCAGTGCTCCTTGCAGGGAAGAGCCTCAGGGCAGGAACTGCTGAAGGCAGGTTTCATGGGGATGACAGGAACTGAATGTGTGTGTTGGTGACTCCTACAAACTGCTTTGAGATGATTCAAATAAGGGATTCACCCAGAGAAGAGGTTCTGGTTTCTTCCTTTAACGGGCATCCCACAGTGTGCAGATCGCACGATGCACTTTCTTCTGCCTCAGTGAGCACATAAATAACTGAGCTCCAAGCACTGAGTTACCATCATTACCTAAATGCACAATTTAAAAAGGTGCTGGAGTTTTTATCTCCTTTCTTAACCCACTAACATGTAGTTACTCTTCTGAGAATTAATGAACTCTGATGCAAAACCTCTGATGACTTTGAGATTTTGAGATATGATAAAATATTCTTACTAGTCCCTTTTGTTCTCTTTATTATTTAAGATGTGTTAGAGAACTAGTAGCTTGATTGTGGAGACATTTGAATGGCAAGGTGTGAGAACACCTTCATTTATCTGTGGGCTTTCTGCTTTTGCTGTGTATATCGTCTCTTTCTCTTGTTTATTTATTTTAAAGCAAGAATGACTTATTTTCGTGGAGTTTGTGAGACTTTGATTTCCTGGAGAGTTGCTGAGTTCCACTTTAGCTCTGACTGTTTATATTATTCCTCCCAACTTTATTTCCTCGCTGACACTTCCACTGGAGTCAGCAGATGGCTTTTCTCCTGCACTCCAGGAATCCCTTTGGGGACTTTCACTAAAGCATCTCCAACTCGGAGCAGGGAAATTCCCCAGGTTGTAAATTCTGTTCACTAAAGAAGCAAAATATTGGATGTGTGAGCTGCACGTGGGTGTCCTGGTTCTAAATCCCCAGAGGAAGAGCAGTTTATCTGAACAGGCTTTTGTACAAATTCAGTGCATTTTGCAAGGGTGTGGCCAGAAGGGCTTCAGCAGCTCCAGAAGGGGATCCCAGTTGTGGGGTCTCAACCACCAGATCCCACCAGTGCTGAAGGGGATCTGTGTAGGACACCTGAGCCCACGGAGGGAGCAGGTCTGTGGGAAGAGGGTGGGTGAGAAGGGGCTGGATGGGAGAGCAGAGCTTGGGGCCTGGCAGGTGCCCTGATGGATCGTGCGTGTCCCCACGCTGCAGTTACAGATCCCACGGCTCCTCCCTGTGTCCCTGCGGGATGGTGAGGGATACACCAGGCTCTTTCTGGACATGGGAGGGGAGAGGGGGCTCTTGCCACGCCCTCCATCTCCAGCACAAATGGCCACGTGCAGCAGCTGATTTCACACAAATCCAAACCGTCAGGACAGAATTGGCAGCAGCCAAGTCAGCAGCGCTTTCCCCATCCCAGCTGGCTCAGTGTCATCTATCAGGCACAGCCTTGTCATGGCTCGCGCCCTGGGCGTCACCACGGAGCAGTGACTGGTGACAAAGCTGTGCTCTGATGCTGCCCTGGCGAGGCAGAGGGTCCCAGCTGCTCCGGGAGAGGGTGGGAGGGCTCCAGGGCCGCGGCTTAATGAGAACTGTAAAGCCCATCAGAGGAGCCATGAAGGGGTGCGGAGCCGTCTGTGCCTCTGTCTCCAGTGGCCTCGTTGTTTTGTCCTTTAGAAAGGAAGGAAAGAATACAGAGATGGATCAAATTAGCCTGGGGCTGGCAGTGCACCACGGTGCCTTTTTCTTTGGACAACACGTGTGTCTGTTTAAATGCCTGGGCTCATCTCATTTCTGTCATTAACTGTGTGACCAAGTTAATCTCTTTGGCCACGTATGTGAAGTGGAGATAAAGCTGCTTATCCATCCCTCTGGAGTTCTGTGGGAAATGGCTGCAAGATAGTTTGAAGTGGTCACAGGAAAGATATTGCCAGATCGAGCAGAGAGAAGGGAACAGTCAGCAGCCATACAAGCTGATCTGCCAAAATGTGTGCAGCCTCCTCTGAGTCCTTCTGGAGCAGCAGCTTGCTTCCCTATGGAGTAGTGTTTGCTGTATCCGAGACGAACAAGCAGGGAAAGGAGGGGAACTCTGAGGAATTTAGTGTTACACATAACTGCCAAATTGTTTGGTTCCTGGAAAAATTAGCTGAGTCAAGTTAGGGAACAGAAACATCAGTCAAAATAGTTATGCCAGAAATCTTCAGTTGGCTTTACTGGCCTGGTTGGGCTGGGCTTGGAGCAATCTGGGCTAGTGGAAGGTGTTCCTGCCCATGGCAAGGGGGTGGAACTGGATAATCTCTAAGGTCTCACCCAACTCAAACCAGTCTGGGATTCTGTGATTTACTTGCCTCACAATACAGCTCTGGGTTTTGAAGCAACATCAAGAGAGTAGAGGCTAGAAATTACAATATGTGTATATTATTATATGTTATGCATATAATTAAAAAATAATGCAGAATATTTTTTAAATAAAGCATAAAGAAAAATGTGGAAAAGAAGGAGCAGAGCAAATGAGTAGGCTGTTTGTTTGCAGATAGTGCTGGGTCCTGTGGAGACAGAGGCATTACTGCTCTGCATGGGGAGTGAAGTGGTCACTGACAGGGGTCACTGACTGTGGGTGCTCAGGGGTTACTCTGGGGTGGCCACTTGCTTAGGTGAGGTGCACTGGTGCTGGTGGCCTCAGCGTGGGCCTGGCTGAGCTGTGTGGTGTGCAGGTTCAGCCTCCCAAATAACAGGGACTCAAAGGTTCTGGAGCCACAGACCACTATGTAACCCATGAGGAAATGAGGCAGAGGGATCAGTAGCTGGGAAAGCATTTCCTTCTCCCTGGAGCCCAAAACTGCCCCCCAGTGCAGCTCTGGGGTGGGCTCTGGGAGGCACACATGTATTTGGCTGCTTTTGCAGTGTTTTGGCCAAACCCAGCTTGCCTGAGCTCCAGGAGCCGGTTTGTTTTTCAAGTGGAACACTGGGATATTTCCACCCCTCACAGGGTGTTACCAGACGTGATGAATTAATGCTTGGGGAGCTCTGAGCTCGGCAGATGAAAGGCGCTGCAGGAGGGCTGGGGATTATTATTTGTGGTTCTAATTTATTTGCCATCAAAGGGATGAGAGGGCTGAGAAAATGCCATTTGTTCTGGGGCTGGGAGCAGCAGTTTGAAGTCTTTTTCTTTTTCTTCTGCCCTCCCCATTGTGTGTTCCTCTGGGAATTGCATGGAAGTCTCTGCTCTGTCTTTTCTTCTCTGGGCACCCGTGTGTGAAGCAGCCGGCACGGTGCTGATCTCCAGGGACTTCAAGGGCTGTGCTGTGTGCAGGAAGTGCCTGCCCTGCTTTTCAGGAGCAGCTGATTTCTGGGCAGTGCAAGTCACCACTGGCTTCAGTGCGAGCCCAGCAGCAAAGGAAAGGGAAGATTTCACATGGAATTTTTCCCAAAAGCTTCTGTCAATGCCCTGAGCCTGTCTCCTTGGGTTCTGTGGCATCTGGTGATTTGCCTTTGTAATGGATCCGTTTTGTGTGCTTTGGGAACTCCTACCCTCAGACAGTGGCACTGTTTCCTCCTGGCACTGTTTTCTGTAGCCAAGTAGCTGTGATTTCAGGGAGTGGAAGAACCCTGGTGAGGTCTGGGAGGTGCTGGGGAACACCGTGGTCCCGTTCCCGGGGCACAGGACTGCGGTCGGCTGGTCGTGGCAGGAGAGCTGGTCCTACCCTGGTGCTGGCATGAGGGTCCCAGCCCTGGTCCCTGCCCTGTCTGCCTGGCAGCCCCTGGGCTGCATCGTCCTGGCTCCAGGGTTTCTGTACAATAGATGTACGGGTGTTCATGCTAAAACTGTCCCACGAGAGAGACAGCACAGGATGAGGTTTTGCCCCAAGTGGTGAATGGAAATTTGTCTTTTCCTCCTTTTTGTGTTGTTTGTTATTTTTTTTAAGGCAAGGCTGTGCCAGTCCATAACTGCCTATGCTCTCAGCTAATAGGATTAGAGGCTAAGTAGAAGCAGGAGAAGTGGAGGGTTATGACAATTCGATAGTTTCTACAAAACTCCTCATTATTGCACAGGGGGGTTCACAGCTTTTAAAGACTAGAAGGGGACAGGGGTGTTCGCTCGGGTACCTGTGGGGGAGATCGGGAATCAGCCCCCTGAGGCTTTGCTGATGCTGCTTTTAGCAGAGACTGAACCAAACACAGCCCTGCCGTGACGTGATCCGAGCTGAGTGGTGTCTCCTCACATCAGCACAGAGCACAAGACGGCTTCTTGGGTTGGAGCTGCTTGTGGCACCAGCTGAGTTTTCAGATTTCACTTTGAGCCTTCACAGAAAGGGTTGTCAGGCATTGGAACAGGCTGCCCAGGGAGGTGGTGGAGTCACCATCCCTGGAAGTGTAAAAGCCTGGACATGGCACTCAGTGCTCTGGTCTGGTTGACAAGGTGTTGATTAATCAAAGATTGGACTTGATCTTCTTGGAGGTGTTTTCCAACCGCAGTGATTCTGTGATTCTGTGAATACTGACATTCTAATGCAGAATCACTTTCTGTGCCTTTCTGCACTGGTTCAGTAGTGCCTGTGGGTGCCCCAGAGCTGGAGAAGGTGCCTTTGAAATGGCAGCTCCCAACAGGGAGTTCTGCAGAAAAGTTGGGCTCATTTGGGTCACTGGAATTGCAGTGCAATCCTTCTTCTCTTTCCTATAGCTTTTGTGCCATGCTGGTCCTTCCAGCAGTGCTTGTGGTGGGACTACACTGTGTGGCAGCGAAGCAGCTTAACTTCTGCAGTAGAAATTGTCCTATGGCAGTTTTCATGTGATAGGAGTGATTTGCTGGCAGTGGTTAGTTTGATGCTGTGGCTGTGGGAGGTATTTGAGGTGTTTCTCACAGGGTCCCTCTGTTTCTACCATAGTTATCTGACTTTACATCCTCTGTCAGGAGCTCCAGCCTCTCTTATGTCCCAGAAATACACGTGCTTCAGATTTGGACTGCAGCCCTTCTGTTGCACTGTGCTGTCCTTCCAGCCCTGTGTGGCTCAGGCTGAGGTGCTGCTGTTCTGCTCTTCCTGCTTCCAGCATCCTCTGTCTCGCCTTTCCCTGCAGAACAAGATCTGTCGACCTCCAGATTTTGGGTGGTGCTTCAGTTCTGTCCTTGCCCCCCTCCTGGGGTCGCCTGCTCGCTGCTGGTGGGCCTGGAGCCCTGTGGAGCCCTGCACTGGGTCAGGCTCTGGAGGGGACCGGCACAGGGCTGCCAGGAGCTGCTTCTTGCTGAGCTCTGATGGAGCATTCAGAGCAGCAAGTCCCTGTGCTGGTGTGGCATTTAACATGCCAGACTCAGTTACAGTGAGGAGAGAGTTTAAAATGAGGCTTTTGTCTAAGGTACAGTATTTTAGCAGCAATTAGCTCTGAGTTTTATCATTTTCCTCAAGGTAGACATGAGAGTGATCAGTTATGCATGAGGAGCTGCTCCGTGGTGGGAGGCAGGCAGCTGCCCAGGGAGGGACCAGGGTGTGCACACACTGGAGGGCAGGGTGTCCAGTGCCACTTTGCTTTAACATCCCTCTGTGTCTGAGAACTTTGGAAAATGGTTTGGGAGTGCTTGTGTGAGCAGACCCTCCCTTGGTGTCTCTCAGTGCTGTGATCTGGGATTCCACGCCAGCCTTGCTCGGACCTTCAGGACGTACCTGTCTGCCGAGTACAACCTGGAAACCTCCCGCCACGAGGGCCTGGACATCATTGAGAATGCTGTGGACAACCTGGATGCACGGAGCGACAAACACACCATCATGGACATGTGCAACCAGGTCTTCTGCCCGCCACTCAAGTTCGAGTTCCAGCCGCACATGGGGGATGAGGTAACGGGCTCTCCTGTGGGGCTGCAGAGGGGCCTGGCCTGGCCTCCCCTCCTCTGAACTATCACTGTGAAATTGTTCTGGACTCTTTATCCCTCCGTGCTGCCTTCACACTCTGCTGTTCGTGTTTCCTTTCCTAATGAGACTCTTGGCTCATTAGGGTTTCTCCTTTCAGGCTGCCTCTTGCTCTGTGTCTCTCCCAATTAGGGAGCCTGTGGTTTGGCTCTCTCTGCCCCACAGATCTGTACAGCGGAGCTTTGATTTACCTGCTGTAATTGGGAGATGGCAGAGTGAGGGGTAGAAAATGCTCAGTGCTGGACCAGGTCCAGGGCACTGCTGATGGGAAACGGGGCGATGCTGCTTCCGTGGAGGCTGCCAGGAGCTTGTGGGGGCTGGAGGGAATTGTGTGGGTATGCAAATGTGTGTGTGATGCCTGCGTGACCCACGGAGTGTCTCCTGTGTCAGGTGTGTCAGGTGAGCGCCCAGCAGCCTGTGCAGACCGAGCTGCTGATGAGGTACCACCAGCTGCAGTCACGACTGGCCACCCTCAAGATAGAGAACGAAGAGGTAAGAGGGGTCTCACATTCGGCCTCATGGGCAGCACTGCTGAGCCTTTCTCCCGTCACCGGGGGTTTCCTGGTGGGCTCAGGTGTGGAACCCTCCTGAAACAGAGCTGGGAGTGCCCACAGACCACGGCCAGTGCAAGCCCAGGGCTCAGGAGCTCTCTTGGTTGCTTTGGTTCAAGATGTGCCCCTTTGCCAGTCTGCTTCAAACCCACGCTGTCCTGTTTCCCCTAGGTACGGAAAACGCTGGATGCCACAATGCAGACCTTGCAGGACATGCTGACAGTGGAAGATTTTGACGTTTCAGATGCCTTCCAGCACAGCCGCTCCACTGAGTCCGTCAAATCAGCTGCGTCAGAGACCTACATGAGCAAAATCAACATCGCCAAGAGGAGAGCCAACCAGCAGGAGACAGAAATGTTCTATTTCTCAGTGAGTCCCAGCTCAGGCTGTACAGGACACAAAGCATTAATTGCCAGGGCTGAGGCCCAGTTAAGTGCTCGTTAGTGAAGAGCAAGAACCAATTGAGTCTCTTTAAGTGCTTGTCTTCTCTCAGATTTGGTCCGGAATGCATTTCAGTGCATTTCAGTGGCAGGGCAGTGCACAGGGTCTGACAGCCCAGGATTTGCCTCATTCTTCTCTTTGAAGGAACAAGTGGAGTGACCAGTTGTGACCAAAAGCTTACCAAGCACCGTAGGAGAGGCTCAGAGCAGGGCGCAGCCTCTGGCTGTGTGTCACCTTCCAGGGGCTCTTCCTAGAGGCCTTCAGGACTGTGAACTATCAGCCAGGCCTTCCCTCTCTATCCTGCACAGCTGAAATTTGCCCTTGGCCCATGGATGAACTGAAGCCACGTGCACCCCAAGGAAGCCACAAGAGCCAGGCTGTGTGGCATTGGGCTGTGGAGTATGTGCCAGGAGAGGGGCTGTGTGTGCTTGCCCTGCTCCTGTGCTGCACTCCCAGGCAGAGTTGAGGTCTCCATTCTGGTACCTGAAATGCAAGGAAGAGCCATGAGTTCAACAGAGTGACCCTCATTTCAGCATGGGCCATAGACTACAGTTAACAGCATCTTGTGATGCATTACATATGTGTAGAAAAGCTTCTCGTTTCTCTTAATAGTAGTAATATTGCAAATTGAGGTGGGGTGGGGCAATTGCAATTTTCATTTGGAGTTGTGCTTGGGATTATGTTAATGCTTTTTGCAGAAATTTGATGTTTCCCATTCTCTTTCATTTTCCATATCTGCCTCCCTCTCTCCTCTTACCTATATAATGCCCTGATCTGGAGTGTTCCCGGGTGTCTTACAGCCTCACAATGGGAGGGGAGGTTGTGCTGCATAGTGTCACCCAGACAGGGAGCACCTGACAGTCCCTGCCCTGGGAGGGCTCAGGCTCTGGGAGGCATTGCTTTTGCACAGAGGTGAAGCACTGGCATTGCAGGGAAAGCCTCTTTGATTTCCCAGGCCATTCCCAGAAGTATGACAAAGGAAAGCCAGCTTTGAACTCTGTTCTTTGGCCCTCCCTGCATTCCCAGGCAGGAGGTGCAGCACCAAGGAGACTGGGCAAATAAGATCACCAGGCCAGTGACTGGAGCAGGGAGAAGTGATCAGACTGAGCCTGACAGACTCCTGAGCCCCCTCTGGCAGCCCAATCCCCCTCCAGCAGGCCCCAGGCAACAGTGAACATCAGTTATGGGCTGTGTTGCTTAACCCACCTTGTTTGGTTTGTATTTACAGAAATTTAAGGAGTATCTGAATGGCAGTAACCTCATCACAAAGCTGCAGGCTAAACACGACCTGCTGAAGCAGACTCTGGGAGAAGGTGAGTCGGGCTCAGATCTGGGGAGGAGCCTCCATCTCCTGAGAGGGTTTAAACCAGGTGTCACTTGTCAGCCTCACCTCTGTGTGTTCTTCAGTGACTGATGGGTCTGTGTCTGGCTGCTGCTGCTCACCTGAGCTACATGTAAAAATCATGATTTCCTTAGAATATTACTCCTCCCACCTTTCTTTGGGAGTGCACATAGAGAAATCTCTTTGAGTCTGATACTGAAGTGCTGAGTTACTTCTCCAGCAGCAGAGATTCCCACCTACTTCCATTCTCTGCCTCTCTAGTTCCTGTCCCCCTTCTCCTGCCCTCATTGCAGCCCTGACACAGGTATTTCCTGGCCCTTGATGCTGTGTGTCTGTGTCACACATTTGCAGCACCCTTGCTGATTTAACAGGCCCCTTGTCCTCGGCCATGGGTTTTTTAACTTGTCCTAAGCAAGAACTGCAAGGACATCCTTGTTTTTAAACCAGTTTTTCCGCAGGAGACTTTTATTCCCCCAGATAATCTCACCAGTGTGGTTCAGAGCAGCTGCACACAGACAGGCTCCACACAGCAGAGGGACAGTGGCTTCTGAGAGGGCAGCAAGTGGCTCCAGGTGGGACCCACCACTGCTGGAGTGGTGATGTCACCACAGCCCTGGGAGAAGATTTTAGCTCTTTAAAGGGTCTAAACCAACTGAATTGTTTCCAGTGTAAGGAAGATGGAGATGAGTTGGTGTCCTGATTCTCCCAACAGAATATATTTAAATTAAAACATGCAAATGGTCCAAGGCCTTATTTTAACAATAAAAAAATTGGACTCCTCATCTCAGAGTAAAACAAATAAATAATAGATTTTTGTCAGCTGTTTTGCCAAACATGTATTCTTTGCCAAATTTATTTAACCTTAAAATCCACCTTCTAATTAGATCCTATGGTGTGTTCCACTCAATGAATACAGAGCCAAGTCAGGCACAAACTGGGAGCACAGGGGAGGCTCCAGGGCATGTACACAGGGCTGGGATACAGCACTCAGGCTCCTGTGGACTGGGGCAAGAGGTGAGGAATCTTGGGGAGGTTCATTGTCACCATCCTGGTCTCTCACCCCTGAGCCACGTGCTACTGTACTCAGGAAGGAGATGCAGGGCCAGACATTTCCTTCACTAGGGCTGTGCAGAAGCAGCTGTGGAAGATCCTTACATGAAGCTTTCTGAGCTTCTCCCAGGCCTTGGGATTGTTCTGCTCTGTAGGCATTCAGCAAATATTTAGCACAGAAATACCAAATGCTGCATTTCAGTGTGAGCTGATTCTTGTTAGGAAGGAGTCTGGATTTGCAAACCACTCATGTGGAGTTGTTTGCTGTTTCAGTGAGGAATTGGCTGCCAGCTTGCTTTCTGCAGGTGCCAAGGGAGAGCAGGAAGGAGGCATGTGCAGCCAAATGCTTCCTTTTATGTGTCTTAGCAAAGGAAGTATAACTCAGCTTTCCTGGCCCTGGGAGAGAGGCACAAACAGCATGTGAAATTAGTTTGGTTTTTTTCAGTGGATTGACAAATACTGTAAAAATTGAACAGATCTAATCAGCAGGGATCTACTGGCATTTATATGACATCCAAATACTAAAAATACACAAAGGGAATGGGAATATTGACAGCCAGGATAGAGTCTGCTCAAAGCTGATTGATGGGCTGTTATCTGCCAGGAGAAACTGGGGAACCGAATACTCGGCTGCTTTCGGGTGCTGTTCGTGGCTCCCTGGGAGTCGGATGATCCCTTGGCCTCCCTGGGGCTCCAGCCCTTCTCAGGCTGCCCCGTTCCTGCTGGGGCTCAGCCAGTCCTGGCTGGTGCCCCAGAGCCCGTGCTGTGGGCCTGTAGTGCTGCTGGGTATGGGCAGGGAGGGCTTCACATGGCAAAGGAACCAGTGATGTCTGTGGGGACTGCAGCCCCTTTCCCTCTCCCGTGGCCGAGTCTTGGTTTTCTAATCTGTCTTTTAGTGATGGGGGCTTGTGCAGCACAGCTGGGCACCTCCTCTCCCCAAATGCAGCTTCTTTCTGTCAGAAGCTGTCACCTCGGGGTGGAGGAACCAGCAGTGAGGGTGTGAGCACCTGCTCAGGTGTGCTGTACTGCTCCTGCACTGGTGGCTGATGTGGAGGGATGATGGGAACTTGTGTTTCTTGCAGGTGAAAGAGCTGAGTGCGGAACAACCAGGTGAGCACTTTCTTCCCCTTCATCTGCTCCTGGGGAGAGCTGGTGCTGGCAGGAGGGGGCTGTGGGAAGAGGGGTTTGCTTTGCTACTGGTGCAGCTTGGTGGGGTTCAGAGTTTCCAGCTCCAGCCCCTGTGCTGGCAGGCTGGTGGTCCCCATGCCCCACATCCTGCTTCCCAGCTGCATGGCCTGGAGTGCCTGGATGAGGGGGTGACGGGCAGGCCCTTGGTTCTGCTGCAGTGTGGTTTCTGGCTGGCTGGCTCTGATGTGCCTGGACGTGCCATGTCAGCACAGTGCTGTGCCCTGGAGCGTGGCTGAGATCAGGTTGTGCTCAGGCAGGGTGACACGAGGGTGTCCACCCACTCCCTGCCATCCCTCTTGGTTTGAGGACTTTGATATGGCCCTGAAAGCCTCTCCCAGCTCTGGCTGCTTTGCCTGGGAGTGCAGAGCGTGCCTGTATCACAGGCTTCATCCCTCTACAGCAGGAGATAGTGCTGGGGTGAATGTGACAGGAAGGAGGCTTTGATCCATGTCCAGTTCATGAAACATCTCCACAGAGCTCCAGTGGCTTGCCAGGAGTGTACTGGTGTTCTGACAGCAAGACACGAGTCAGCAAAGCCTCCAAACAGCTGCCCAGAACATGCACAGCCTCCCTCTGTGTGAGCTTGTTCCAACCTTGTTTCAGCATGTAATAAAATTTACAATACAAACAAAAAAAGCCCCATTCGCTGTTAGGAATGGTGGAGCAGATGGTGCAGCCTGGGCTGCCTTGCCAGGCAGGAAGGAGGCTCCTTGTGCCGCTGGTGCCAGGCCCAGGGCATCAGGGCATCAGGACAGAGAGGGGCTGTCGGGACAAGAGGGACCTTCTGAGAGTGGGGGCTGTGCAGTGTGTCCCTGCCCTGGAGCACTCTGAGGAGCTGCCCCTCGCTGCCAGCACTGCCCTGCTGTGGGTCCCGGGGAGCTGCCCCTGCACCCTGAGCTGGGTGTCAGGTGTGTGTGTGTGCAGTCATGGCTGGGTGTGTGTGCAGTCATGGGAAGGCAGGGCACAAATCCATTTGGGATTTTGTGATGCTTTTCTCCCTTTTCTGGGGCTAGGCTCTGAATGTCCCTCATTATCCGAAGGAATCAGACTGGGAATAGCATTAATGAGAGCAGCCCTCCAAAGCCCTGAGCACTGCACTGAAACCCATCACAGGTTTCCCTGGCCTCATTTCCAGCAGTGATGGGTGTTACCCTGGCTGGATCTCAAGCAGGGTCTCAGGGTCTGTCCCTGTCCCAGACAGGCCCCTCGATCCCTAGCAAAGGGGAAGAAGATTCCCATCCTTGGGATTCCCAAATGGAAGTTAGACACAGGAAGATGGAGGTGTTCCTGTTGTCCTCTTTCTGGCCTCTTTCTGTGAGAAGAATGAGATCCAGCAATTTTTAGCAGATTTTTAGCAACAAACGGGAAGACCCCAGCATTTTCCAGGGGTAGCTGTGGTTTATTTGGGATATATCAAGGAACTGGTTGAAATCCTTAGCTGCTCTTGGTGCCTTTTCAGGCTGAAGGAGTGCTGAGCTGGTGGAGGAAGGAGGAGGGTGTTAAAATCCTGCTGAGCACCAGTGCCCTCAGTTTGCAGTGTGGGACACAGCAGCGTGAGTGGCTGCAGGGCACGTGGAGCCACTGTCCAGGTCCTCACAGAGAGATTTTTCTGTTTGATTTCTTAGGCTCAGTCATAACCTTTGAGATCTCACCCTGTCATTGCATTTATGTTGGTGTTTTGTTGACTTATTTTGTTCCATTTTCTCCCAGGCCCCCATGTCTTCCCCCTAAACCACAGAAAATGAGGAGACCTAGGCCTCTCTCAGTCTATAATCATAAACTCTTTAACGGCAATATGGAAACGTTCATTAAGGTACTCGCTGGCTGGCAGGAGTGTCTGTGAACGCTGGGAATGGAACAGTGGCTCTCCTGTCCTGGCTGCTCGCTGTCCTCGGGGTCCCTCCGGCCACCTGCCCCAGCCGGCGTGGCCAGCACGGCTCTGCCTCGGTGACGATTTCTCTTCCCCGCTCCCCTTGCCCCTCGTGCACTCCCTGTGCCAGGGGAGCAGTGAGGGCTGGCCGGGGCCAAGTGCAGTATGAGACAGTCCTGGCTGAGTGTCCCCATCGTCCTGCTGCTCCCACCCATCCTGGAAAGGATTGGCATGACTGCAGGAAGGATTTCCAAAGGCAGCAATGCTGTTCCAGTTGCAGTGTTTAACCCTGTGCTGGAGAAAGCTTTAGTGAAAACAGTGTAGGAAGCAATAATGACAAGCTGTTGGATTAGGTGACTAATAGGCATTGTTTAGATCTGGTTTATTCCCTCAGGCTCAACCACATTCCCAAGGGCAGTGTCTGTACACAGCACCCCAGCATGGGGAGTAGAGACCTGCTGGCAAAGCTGCTAATCCCTTTAGGACTTATGATTACTCCTGACTTAAACTGGTTTATAAAAAAGTAATGCTCATTAAAGCCTAGCCTGTTGAGCACTGCGGAGGAGAAATTATGTGCTCTAGAAATCCATCTGAGCCAAGGGGTGTTCCTGCCATCAGAGACCCCTTGAGGGATGGCCCAACCCCTGGGATGTATAGCCCCGTAGGGAGCAGGGCTGTGGGTGGCTGCCCGGTGGTCCCCATGTCACCCAGTGCCCCCAGGGCTGCCAGGTGTCCCTACAGTAGGGCAGCTCTCCCAGAAACTTGCCTGGCCTTGTCCTCAGGCTCCTGGGAATGCTACAGGTTCAAGGAGGGAGGAAATCCGAGAGGCTGTCCCTGCAGGTTGCCAAGGCTGGGTGCAGTGTGCCGAAGGGTTTGGGAGGGAGGGTGGACATCCCAAAGGCCTGGGTTGGCCCTTGCTAAGCTGCTGTTGCATTTGAGCGTTCATGGCCTCCGAAGGAGATGCTTGCCTCTAACTGAACTTATCCCTGCTTAATCTGTTTTCTTTTTCCCACTCTGCTGCTTTTTTGTGTGCTCAGAGGAAGGAGGAATGCACGAATGAGGAATCAGGTATTTACTGGATGCCTGTCTGTGAGATGAAGGGACTTGCCCGGAGTCCCTGTGCTCTGCTGGAAAAACAAACAGAGCCCCAAAGGGAAATAAGTGTCCACTCAGGCTGTCAGACACAGCCCACCTTTCCCTTGAGCCTCTGCCATGAGGGACCTGGGGGGGGAAACAGCTTTGAAATAAAAGCCAAAACTCATCTCTGGTTCAGACCCAAGCACATTCCATACACTGTGGTGCTTGTTGGGTTTTTTAGCACCTGCTGAAAGGACTCTTTCCTTCAGTGGAAAATACTGTTGTAAGCTCTGTTACTGGAAGCTTGTTCCATTAGCCAGGTATAGCACAAGTTTTATTTCAGCTCAGCATTCCACCTTTGGGATGGAACAGCTGTGATCCTTGCAGCAGTCCCCTGTCTGAGCCAGACAGGGAGCAGCAGTGTTTCACACACCTTTAGTGACAGCTTTTTTACATTATTGGCTGCACACAGTATCCTCAGCGCTCTTTGGTGGCTCCATGTCTGTAGCATCTCCTTTCCTTGCCTGTCTTCTTACTAAACTCCACGGCACCAATTTTCAAACTTCTGATTTTACCATCTCTAACACTTTTCCTGTGCTTTGTTAGCAATAAACCAGTCATTTTGTCCTTTTTTTCCTTTCCTTTCCTGAAGGATTCGGGACAGGCCATTCCACTTGTCGTAGAGAGCTGCATCCGCTACATCAACCTGTACGGTGAGTTGGCTCGGGACATCCACAGAGACCTTCTGCCCAGGAACAAAGCCCTTGAGTGAGCAGTGAGGTCCTGCAGAGAGCCTGGGGGTGCCTGCAGCCCCTGCTCCGTGGGCTCAGCTTAGAATTCCAGTCACATTGGCTGCGATGCAGCACTGGATGAGTCGCCAATATTTAGGTCTTATTAGCACATACCCAGGTTACATTGTTTGCTCAGGACACGAGCCCTTTCAGCACCTTGATCTGGGGTTCCTGCTTGGAGAATATGAGCAGCAGTGACTCACATTGGACTGTCCCCACTTGCTCTGAGCCTCTCCAGTGCATAAACTCCTGGGTTCTGCTGTTTTTACCAGCAGCTACTGCCCAGCAGTTCCAAAAATCTCTCCTAAAGTGTTGTTCTCTTCCAGGCCTCCAACAGCAGGGCATCTTCAGAGTCCCTGGCTCCCAGGTGGAAGTCAATGACATCAAGAACTCGTTTGAGAGAGGTGTGTAGCCAGGCTGTGCAGGTACAGCGGGGGGCCGTGTCCGAGCAGGGATCCTTGGTGGGAGCTGGTGTGTGCTGGGTGCATTAGCTGTGGTGTAAGGCCTGTGTAAAGCCCTTTCTGCTATGAGACACGAGGAGGGTTTATCCCCTCTGGGTTTCTCAATGTTGTATCTCTGGCAGTAGCAAACAGTCACCTGAGGAAGGAGTCTGAGAAGTAGGGGTAGGTGCAGAGATCTTTTCCACAGTCATTAAGAACACAAGAGCCATAAAACAGTTTGGGGGATCCTTCTTCCTCCTCAGCAGTTTGCCAGGGAAGGAGGAGCATTCCCACCCTGGTGGCAGTGCTGGCTGTGGAGGTGCCAGTGATTTTGTTGAGAAAATCAAAACCACACTGAAGGTGCCAGGCTGCTGAGACAGGGCAGAGCAATCCTGCTGTCCCCAGTGGAGGGGAACTGTGACAGGGACAGCCCAGGTGGGAAGAGTGGCCTAATGTTAATCCTTGAGCAGCATCAGAAAGATCAGGGTGAAGGTGGCCGGGCCAATGGATAAGGCAGTGGTGGGATTGTCAAAGGCTGGATTTGGAGGATTTGCACATACAGTTTAAGAGGAATCTACATCCCTTGGGCATTGAAAGCCTTTCATAGATCTAAGTCACTACAATGCTGTCTAGAACCATTGGGTCTGTTCCAGAGGCATAATTGCTTCCAGTCAAGCCTGTCCCCTCAGGCTCTCACCCACCGTCCTTCAGACCTGCTCAGCTCTCTGGGCTGGTGCTTTAAATGCAAACTGCACTGGGCTGGAAACCTGAAGGGGAGGCAATCAATAGCATCATCATCCTCAGGAAAGGTTTGAAATCCCACCCTAAACTGGTTTTCAGGAACCACTCAGCATTGCCATTGCATACAAGGAGGGTTTCTGAACCCTGTGAAATTTGAGGGTTCCACTGAGTGAGGAAAAAACCATTTGCTGTGCTAGTCCAGCATGATAGTGATACTGGACATAAAACCTCTTCTCTGGACAGGTGAAGATCCCCTCGCTGATGATCAGAATGAACGGGACATTAACTCAGTGGCTGGAGTCTTGAAGCTGTATTTCCGAGGACTGGAAAACCCCCTCTTTCCTAAGGAAAGGTTTCAAGATTTGATATCTACCATAAGTAAGTACCTGTGACAGCTCTTTGTGGAGAACAGGGTGGGTAAGAGAAGCACTAAGTGGGGGGCAGGCACACCTGAGTCTTGCAAACAGGGGTTTGTGCCGTGAGGAGGGCGGCAGGTGGGCAGTGGGAATTGTTAGGGAAGGACATCAGGAGTGTGTGTTGGCAGTGCTGGCAGGAGGGAGGGGGGAAACATCTCACTGTGGCTCTTTTGAATTCTTCCCAACATCATGAGGATCCCCGGAGCCGTCTCCAAGCTTAGGCCAGGGGGCTGCACGTGCAGCAAGGCCGTGTCCACATCTGAGGGTTGCTCGAGGGGTCATTAATGGTGTGATGGGGTGGCTGCTGTCCTGCTCCTGCTGCCTCAGGTCTGCACAGGGACGGTGGTTCCCGTGCCTGTCACCTCTCCACAGCTGTGGCTCCTGGACCCACCGGGGTTTAGCTGCTTTGGCTCAGTGGCTAAAGATAGTGAGGGTCAGGAACTCCTGGCTACTCGCAGAGCTGCCCCAACCCTGCAGTCTGCAGACCTGGTTGTTCTCCACATGTTTGCTGTATGCATTTGCTGTCCCAAAGAAAACTAGAAAGTGCTTTGGGATGAGCAGATGGAGAAGCTGAGGGGCTTTGGGACTGATGTCAGGGAGAGCCTGGTTGCTTCTTGTTCTGTCCTGAAATCTCTCAGCTCCACATATTCTGCTGCAGGATCAGCTCTCCCAGCTGGGGTGTGCTTCTCTCAGTACCTTGTAGCAATGACATTTATTTATTGGCAAGTTGTGGAAATTATTCCCCTGGGGGGAAGGAAGGAGGCAGAATGAGTCTGATGTTTCAGAAGTGATGGAGGTGCTGCATGCTTTGGCTACAGGGTGACTTTATTTTTCAGGGGAGATGTCGAGGTTGTTTGGGGTTGGGGTGTCTTGGTACGTGGGTGGTTCAGGGGCATTGACTGGGAATGTGTGCTCAAGGCATTTGTTTGGCTTCACTGCTCATGACTCCTTCCCCCCCTTCTGAATGTGCATGCTCATAACTGCTGGGGATCTGGTGATGTCAGGGGAGACAGACGATATCTGGAGGGGACTGGTGCAGGGATGGGCTTGTTCCAGAGGAGAGGAATGTACTCTGGTTTCTCAAGAATGGTTTGTTTATGTAGCAGCTTTAGGAAATTCACTGTTGCTGTTTTGATGTGTAAAACAGCACAGCACACCTGTGAGACAAGCAAAGGAAGCTGGTTCTGCACCAGTTCCAGGCCCTGGACAGGGATTTTCAGCCCGGCTGGTGCTGACTCTGTCTGCCCTTCCCAGGGGGCACAGCCCAGGAGAAGGGGACGGGTCTCCTCTGGTACCAGGACTTGTGCTTGATGATGTGATTGCCTGTGTGCTTGCTTGTGCTTTGGCACTATCCCTAATTAATGCCAATTTGCACAATTTATTAAGCTTTTGGGAGCTTTTTGTTGCAAACAGCATCTGTTAATTTTCCGGATGGTATTCTCTGTCTCTCTCTCTCTTGCTTTATTTTTCTCATTTTAGCAAGAATCTTCCTTTTCCTCATCTTTCTTTTCCTGCTGCTCCTGCAACCTTTTGATTAAGGATAGATTTTCAATGAATTAAAGTGCTTTGTTCCCATTAAGAATCTGGCCTGAAGTGCAGCTGACTTTGTGCCACACAGACATGCACAAACACAGGCTGTGCAGTCAGTGTCCAGACTAAGCAGAGTGAAGAACTCTTCCTTTTGCTCTTGGGGGCCTGAGGGTTTATGTAGAAGCTCCTCAAAGGCACATGGGCAATAAATGGGTCAAAAGGCCCTTTGTCAGCAGAGTCCACACAGGGCTGTGCCCATGTGTACAGTGATGATGGTTATGCTGTTAATTCCCAGGTTACAGCCAGTCAAAATGTTTTGCTCAGTGAGAAAGCAAGTGCCTCAAGAGTTTGTTCCTCTGGGTTTCAGAACATATGCCTGTTGTCATAGGGTTTCATCCAGTTTGTATTTATTTGTTGGGGGTATTTTTAACTAACATCCTCTTTAGTAAAACCAGACTGAAGAAGGAGAGAACCCACCAGGCAGCAGGATAAATCCATTCCTCAAATGGAAAAATCCCCTAAATTAAATATTATAATGCTTTCCATCTTGGTACTGAAGATTTACTGAATTATGAGCAAATGGCAGCCCAGCTACATGATATCAGTGATTTTTATTGTGATCAGCAAATTGCAGTTTGAGCCAGCACAAGCACCTCTGTGTGATCCACCCACTCCAGGAGACTGGTGCTCATCCTCTGCTTTCTGTGCACCAGCAACTGCAGGATTAACTCCACAGAACACACAGATAGCTCAGGGCAGGACAGCCCTGGGTCACTCTCCTTCCCATGGGAGGGAGCAGGTTTCTAACAGCAGCTCTGGGCTCTGTGCATCCCTGTGGAGAGAAGTGAATCCAAAAGTGTTGACTCAGCACTGGTTCAGTTAATCTATTTCCTAGGAATTTCTAATTCCTATTGAAAGCAGTGGGAGACAGGAGTGGAAGGGCTCAGAAGGACCTAATGCATAATCCAGAAGATTCAGATGAATAAAAACCTCATTTAAAAATCTGCCCTAGAAAATCAAGAAGTGTTCCATTTCCAGTGCCACACTGACTCAGGCTTTTGAGGAACGGAAGAGTTGTTGAGGAATGAACTAAATAATGCATAAACACTTATTTTAAAAATAAACCCATGGAAATGTCTTTATTTGCTGTTTATACTGAACCTGAGTGTATGAATTCCCCTGTGGAGCAGCACTGTGCCCCGTTCTCTGCTTGCACCGTAATGCCAAACCTGTGGATCACGTCTGGACACAGGGTGTTGTTTTTCTCACTTAGCGGGCCACTAGATCTGGAACAGGTCCCTCTGGTGCCATGCTGTCTGGTCCTGAGAAGGTTTTTAGGGATGTGCTTTCTGTTCATGTGTTCCAGAAATGGAGAACCCCACTGAGAGAGTGCACCAGATCCAGCAGATCGTTGTCACTCTGCCTCGGGCTGTCATCGTGGTCATGAGATACCTCTTTGCTTTCCTTAACCAGTGAGTCTGTTTGCCTCTTCCACTGAGCTTTTCCTTGCCCTCTCTTTTGTCGGGGTTTCCCTGTCTTTGGGGCACGAGTGCTTTCTGCTGTTGCTGTGGGGAGTTGTATTTGGTTCTTCCCCAGCCCCCTGTGCTCAGGGCAGGGGGACAGCCCGGTGCTGGTGCCTCCCTGGGCAGTGGGGCTGGTGGTGGTTTTGGGGGTGGAACGCTGGCACGGCAGCTCCCTCCCTGTGTGCCCGCAGCCTGTCGCAGTACAGCGATGAGAACATGATGGATCCCTACAACCTGGCCATCTGCTTCGGGCCCACGCTGATGCACATTCCCGACGGGCAGGATCCGGTGTCCTGCCAGGCCCACGTCAATGAGGTCATCAAAACCATCATCATTCACCACGAGGGAATCTTCCCCAGCCACCGAGAGCTGGAAGGGCCTGTCTACGAGAAGTGCATGACTGGAGGGGAGGAGTACTGGTAAGGTTCTCTGCAGGGTTCTTGGATACAAACACCTTCATCGGGTCAAGAGGCTCTTGCACCCCGAGCCGAGCAGTCCCTGCTCATTTGATTTAGTACTATCAGTTAAAACAGGCAGTTTAACCAAGTATTTCTTTTTCTTGTGCTGACTCAGCATTATAAACCTCAGTAAAAATTTCAGGAGAAATTCTTTCCAGTATAAATACTAATATTGATGGAAAAGTCTTTCAGCTCTGGATCAACAGAAGTGTATTCAGAGCAAACCAGAATTTTAGGTCCATTTTATCCAGATATCTCCTAGGCTGGAAATTTTGAGTAAAGACACATAGTACCACCATGATCTGCTGGTTGGATGGAATCCCTCAGCCCGAGGTTAACCTGAACCTTCCAGTTCCCTTTTTTGCTGGAATTCTAATCTCACATTCAGGTCTGGGTTTAACAAAGGAGGATTGATAACACACTTGAACTAATTTCTGTGCAAGTTTTATACATTTCTGAGACCTCACCTTTCCTGACCCTGGTCACCTGCCACCATCCTTCCTCGTGCAGCAGATGATAAGGTGCTAAAGCTCGCTATGAGTGAGCAAATGGGACATTTAACTTGGTGCAAACACTTTGTGTTTGTTTTGCCATATACGAGTAAAGCCATAAGAGCAACAGAGCGTGACGTTCTCGGCTGGAGATCGTGGTGGGTTTGGTGTTCTCAGAGGAAGTTCAGAGATCTGCTGTGATGTAAAGTGACCATCTTGGTCCTATGCAAACTAAAAACACAACTTCCAAGTATCTCTGAGGCCAAAATGTCCCCCAACAAGTTGTGTTTGCAGAGTGCCCTGGGAGCAGGGTCTCACTGGTGTGTGACAGTGCCATGTTCCCTTGCAGTGACAGCCCGCACAGCGAGCCAGGCACCATCGACGAGGGGGACCACGACAACGGGACGGAGCCGCACACCAGCGACGATGGTGAGCAGGGCTGAGCAGGGCCTGGGTCCCTGTCAGCAGAGCTGGGCGTGCAGGGGAGCAGCCTGCAGAGCTGGGAGAGAGCTGGGATGGGCTGACTGCTGGCAGAGCTGAGCAAGGAGTGTCTGTGCTCCTGATCGTGGTGCTGGAGCAGGAGGCAGCGCTTCCCGTGTCCCAGAGGCACCAGTGGTGAGGGGGCAGTCTGGGTGAACCTGCTGGCACTGCTGTGGGGCAGGGAACGCCCAGCCCTGTGGCTCTGTTCCATGGCAGGGTTTCCTGTGTTGGAAGGGCACTGGGGAGCTGAGCACCCTCTGCCTCCCTGGCAGCTGCTGCCTCAGTGCTGTCCTGCCCTGGCAGAGCACATCTGCCCTCAGAGGGCTGCAGGGAGGAGGAAGGGCTCACCTGGCTGGTGGGGCCAGGGGAGCTGGGAATGGCCCAGGGAAGGGCTCAGGGCCTGCTCTCAGCTCCAGGCAGGAGCTGACAGGCCTTGGCAGAGGAAGGTGAAGGAGCTGCTGTGCAGCCAATTTCACCCTTGGGTGACCATGTTAATGGCTCCAGTTGGGGTTTCCGGGTGATTAACTGCGGGTCGAGTGTAGAGTAGAGGAGCAGCTTTATTTTGTGAATTTACATATTCCCTGTCCCCCTTGCCCTGCACACACTCCCTGCTGGGAGCCCAATGTTCTGGCAGGGCTGTGGGAGCCCTCCTGGCTGCCTGCCAGCTCTGTCTCCTCCAGAACATTCCCACTGATGCCTCTGTGGTGCTCCCAGACACTGCCCTCGTGTGGGGGTTGCTCAGGGTGGGGAAGATGAGTCTGCTGAAGCAGCCTGGCCTGTCCCAGGTGGGGCTGGAATGGGCAGGTGTCTGGTGTAGTGTCTCCCGTGTCCTCCTCCAGTGTCCCCTGCTCTGTGTGAGTTTGCATCGGGTCACACCCTGACGGCTGCTGAGCCCGTGGGCAGTGATGGGGCAGAGCAAGTTCCAATGTTTAATGAGAACATGGCAGATCTGGAGGAACTGGGCACGTTTGCCCTGTTTGGCTTTGTCATCACCTGTCTGCCAGTCTCCAGGTGGGGATTAAAATGATTGGTGTCTCAGATCATGAGGGCATGTTAACGCCTGCTGGCTGGCTCTGACAGTGTCAGGGGTGGCACGAGGAGAAGGGGCAGTCAGTGAGGTGGTGCTGCAGATGGGTGCAGAGCAGCTGTGTGGCTGGAGCTGGTATCATCGTTTCCATGGGGATCCCCAAAGGGGCATTAGTTGCTCATCAATAATTCAAGCCAAACTGTCTCCAGGATAAGGAAAGAAAGAGAGGGTAAGCAGGGTTTGGTCATACAGCATCTGACACAGCTTGACGAGATCCCAGGCTGGTGGATAATGGGGTTCTGTAACCAAAGGCAGAAAATAGGAGTGTGGATGAGGATGCCATATGCACACAGGGAGATTCCAACTGCTCCCCATCTGGTTGTAGCTGTTTGTAACTGCTGGTAGTTTGTGAGTCTGTGAGAGATCCCAGGAAGGCTAGAACAACAAGAAGAATTGATCAGTCTGAAAATAAGGTTTGTGCTCAGTATGAGATGCTCTGGGGATGCTGGGGGGCAGCAGCACTGCTGCTCTGCTGAGATGGCTCTCTAGGGTTTATCTTCCCTGGTGAGGGCTGAGCTGAGGTGTTCTCTTGCTGTGCCTCTCTCCTGTGCAGAGGTGGAGCAGATTGAAGCTATAGCCAAGTTTGACTACATTGGACGATCTCCACGGGAGCTCTCCTTCAAGAAAGGGGCCTCACTCCTGCTGTACCATCGGGCATCAGAAGACTGGTGGGAAGGAAGACACAACGGGGTGGATGGGCTCATCCCCCACCAGTACATCGTGGTGCAAGACATGTGAGTAAAGTGGTAAGGGTTGATCCAGGGTGTTAAAATCATGTACCTGCACAAGCTCCACTTCAGCCACCTAAAATAATGAGTCTGGTTTTCCAAGGTTTAATGACTTCACTGAGAAATCTGAGCCTATTCACATCTCCGTGTATTGGCTCTGATTGTTCCTCTTTGAGGCTGATAAAGCCAAGCATTAAACACTGTACCTCAGTGTGCCTGGACCCCATCTCTCACTGGCTCCCCAGAGTGGTGTGACCCAGGCTTACCACTGGCCTTTCCCTTGTGAGTGTTGACCTGGATTGTTCCGTGCCCACCTGGCCTGGGAGCAGATCCCAGGGCCCTTTGCAGGTGCTGCTTCTCTTACAAGTGCTGTACCTGGAGTCATTACAATGGCAGCCACAGCACAGGAGATGTGGAGACAGGATGGCAGCTGTTTCCAAGCTCCCAATGAAGTGATAGCCTTGGTCCAGCCCTTTGTTGCCAAAGTCTGGAGCTGCTGGAATGGGGATGTTCAGATCTGTGTGGCAGCTGGGCTCTGGCTCTCCCAGGGACATAGCCCTGTCACTGATGGGATCTCCTTGCTCTAGGGATGACGCGTTCTCCGACAGCCTGAGCCAGAAGGCAGACAGCGAGGCGAGCAGTGGGCCACTGCTTGATGATAAAGCCTCCTCCAAGAACGACATCCAGTCTCCAACGGATCATATCATGGACTATGGCTTCGGGGGAGTGATGGGCAGGTAGGGAAACTCATTTTCCTGTGAGCATGGAGTTGGTCACCATCAAATGTGGGGACAGTCAGTGTGTGGGGTGGGGCAGAATGGAAGGGAACGGTCCAGTAAGCACTGAGGGGTAACATGAGCATGGAGGGGGTTTCATGTGCATTGATAATGGGGATTTAACATATACAGAGGCTGCAATGGGGCTCTGAGCAGCCTGGTCCAGGGGGAGGTGTCCCTGCCCATGGTAGGGGGTTGGAACAAGATAATTCTTAAGGTCCCAGCCAAAAACATTCTGGGATTCTGTGATTCAGTGCTGTCACTTTCTTGGTGCTGACTGAAGTGTCTGTCTTCCCTCTTGCCTGGGTCTTCTGGAGCTGAAAGGCTCGAGTTTGGTCTGAGCCGAACTCAGAGCTGAGCGATTGCAGCCCATAGCCAGCTGTGCTGGGGCTGACAGGTAGTGACCTGAGGTGCTGGATTCTTTGCAGGGTGAGGTTGAGGTCTGACGGCGCAGCCATCCCTCGGCGCCGCAGCGGGGGAGACACCCACAGCCCGCCCCGAGGGATGGGGCCTGGCATAGACACCCCTCCTCGAGCAGCAGCCTGCCCCAGCAGCCCCCACAAGATCCCCCTCAACAGGGGCAGGATCGAGAGTCCTGAGAAGCGCAGGATGGCAACGTTTGGCAGCGCGGGCAGCATCAATTTTCCAGACAGGAAGGCCCTGGCTGATGGCCACCCCCTGAGATCAACCTGTGGGTCCACCCGGCACAGCAGCCTTGGAGACCAGAAATCTCTGGAAGCAGAAGCTCTTGCTGAGGTAAGTGTTGGGAAGGGACCAAGAGACTAAAGGGGAGGTCACTGGGGAGTGCTCAGAGCCCCTTCACTTCAGACACTCAGTGCTGCCGTGGTGTAAAGGTTAAAATGAGCAGCCAACAGCTTGTCTGCTGCCCAGCTGTATCTGTTGGTGTAATGGAAGATACTGCTCCTTATACAATCCTGGTGTCTGCCCAACAGTAGGCAAAAATGTTGGATCCACCACCAAAAGGCACTGGCAGCTCCTGCCTCTGCAGGGAGGGAAATGCTTTATCTCATAAGGAGCGCAGGGGGGAAACTGGATTTGTCGAATCAGTTTGACTGGACTGATGATCACTGGGGAAAGGTGCTGCAGTTCTGTATTGGCTCTTTGTTGCTGTGACCTCAGAATGTGAGTTTGAGCCCAGTGTGGTGCCTCCATCCATGTGGTGCCATTGGTGTCACATTAGGCCATCAGATCCATGGGGCTCCTTTAATTCTTGTGACCCCAATGTAGCTCCAGGTCCCTCTCTCTGCTGCTGGCAGGAGGCCCCAGCTAGGAATCAGTCAGGTTATTGTGAACCTGTTCACATCCCAGAGAATGGATCTTTCAGAGAACTGGCTGTGGAATTCTCTAGCACTTCAGAGACCACCTTTTTCAGGCACAGTCCCCCCCATTGTGTCTGAGCAGCCGTGACTGGGGCTCAGGGGCTGGAAACCTGTGGACAGGCTGTTCAGTGCCCCCAGTCCCAGCAGTTTGGTTCATGTCAGGAACAGCAGCTGTGGGATGGTGGATGATGCCCAGGTGGAGTGGACGGCTGCTGGGAAGCCAGAGGAGAGCGGGTCATGCTGTAGCACAGTGCTGACATCCCTTTGGCATTCACAGGACATCGAGAAGACCATGAGCACGGCACTGAACGAGCTGCGGGAGCTGGAGAGGCAGAACACGGCCAAGCAGGCCCCCGACGTGGTCCTGGACACGCTGGAGCCCATGAAGAACCCCCCAATGGGCGCCGCCAACTCGGAGCCGGCCAGCCCCCTGCACACCATCCTGATCCGGGACCCCGACGCGGCCATGCGGCGCAGCAGCAGCTCCACCACCGAGATGATGACCACCTTCAAGCCGGCGCTGTCGGCCCGGCTGGCCGGGGCGCAGCTGCGGCCGCCGCCCATGCGGCCGGTGCGGCCGGTGGTGCAGCACCGCTCCAGCAGCAGCAGCAGCTCGGGGGTGGGCAGCCCTGCTGTCACCCCACCGAGAAGCTCTTCCCCAGCGGCCTCGCGGATAAATCGGGCACCATGTAGGCTGGGGCGCGGGGACCGCAGCGGGAGAGCTGGGGCCCGGATGGCGGGAGCGGGGCCCGACACGGCAAAGCCTCTCTGGGCCGAGCCGGGGGTCAGAGCCCTGCTGGGGGGAGCCTCTCCAAAAGGGAACACATGCATAGCTGGGCCTGGTGCTGTACATACGTGTGTGTGTGTATATGTACATATGTGTGCACACACCCTCTCCATGCAGAAACACTTCCCGAGCTTGCAGTCCTACAGCAGGAGGAGACAGCGGGTCTGCGTGTCAGCACTGGAGAACACATGCTCTCTGTAGGAGTATATATTAAAAACAAAGTGTACAGAATTCAGTGACTTTTTAAAACAGTAGATTTACCTCAGAAACTGGCTCTGAAATGTCCTCTCTGGAGATGGTGGGTTGGGCTGGGTTTCCCAGACTCTGTGCACGTGTGGAGGCCCACACCGCAGCAGCCATGTGTCGAGCAATACAAGGCCATCCTGGAATTTAGTTTCTGCACCTCTTGGCATTTAAAAAAAAAGGGATGGGGATACAGCGGGGTCTGTTCACTGCTGGGTTGTAGAGAAGAGTTGGAAATCCATAAATGATGGTGTGTGTCCAGCCAGCTGGAGTCTGTTCAGTCCTGAATCCTGAGACGTCTTTGTGTGCCTGTGATGCCCCGGGCAGCAGGGACAGAGTGAGCTGTGTGCCGTGAGTGGGGACAGAGCAAGGTGTGCACCATCACCTTCACACAGGAGGAGGATGCTGTGCTGCACTGGGGCCATGGAACGCTGCTTTTCTGGAAGGTTTCAGAGTGAACAAGGACTGGTGACAAACCTGTGGTAAAGTATGGAGTAACTTACACAGTTTGGAGATCCTTCATCTCCCCTTCCCCGCACACTTTTCTTTTTTTTTTTTTTAATTAATAAGAAGACAACCCAATGGTCTCTCGACAGTCAGGTGTAAGCAGTGAGGAGGCTTTGGCACCACCACGTTCCTCGGTGTGAAGCTGCCCAGCGGCACAGGGGGGTCTCAGTTCAGAGTGTGTCATCCTGCATGAGAAGCATGAGCCATATTTGACCGTGTCAAATGCAGAACCGATCTGATGGGTGACACTTTGCACTTTCTGTACTGTACCATATAATACAACTGTTTGAGTTATGCAAAGGAATCTACATTTTGTTTTACCCAGAGAAAAAATATGCAGAAAGCTGGGGATTGCATGGTCCTTTCTGATAATCCAGACTCCGCTCTAAGCGCTGAATCCAAGACGCTCTGTGCTTCTCCTGCAGCTTTTCCTTGTACAGATTTCCATGCAATGCCCCATGGTTTGATTTGGCACTTCCCCATGGTCATGTACTAATGGCTCCTTAACATCCATCCTTCTTCCCCGCTATCTCTGACCCTGCTGCTCTGTCTGTGCCTGGGCAAAGATGCCCACGAACCCTCCTGCCTCACCCAGCAGCCACCTGCCCCTGCCCGGGCCTTTGCTTTGTCTCCCCTTCATCTTCCTCACCTCTCCAGCACCACTGTGGACCCCAGCTCTGCAGGAGGAGCAGCTTGACTTCCAGAAGGTGGTGGAGGCACCGGCCAGGGCAGCAGAGCCCACTGGTCCTGCTAGGGCTTGTCCTCAGCCTGGGAGCTCACCCTCATGTGAGGCCGCCTGCACCTCCATATGTGCCCTTCTCCACCTGCCCCTCCACGCCTGCACTTCCATATCCATACCTGCACACCTGAACCTCCATATCTGTACCTCCATGCCTGCACTTCCATGTCCATACCTCCCCACCTGAACCTCCATATCTGCCCCTCCACGCCTGTGCCTCCACGCACCAGGCACGGAGCGGGGTCACAGACCCGTCAGGACTGGCTGGTGCCTGTCCCTGTCCCGTGCCCAGCGCACGTGTCCCCTTGCCCCCTGCTCTGCCAGCCCTGTATATATTGCCCTACTTGCTTAACTGCTGGAAAGTAACTGTTAACCTGTAAACTGTAAAAAATAGGCTAAGATTAGATAAAAGCCAATGCCACTCACCAAATCTTTGCACTTAGTAGGTAGCTTGATGTAAAAATAAACCCAGTAATAATAATAGTAACCCTGAAGGGAAGCGAAGCCGCCGGCGCCCCTCGCAGAGCCTGGGGGGAGCAGCTCTGCCCGTGTCCCTCCCTGTCACCTTGGCAGGGACTACGGTGTGTGTGTGCTTGTCTGTGAACGTCCTTGGCGTTTGTAATGACCACAGTTGGTTCATGTTGGTGTTTATTTCTCCATCATCCCCCTTTCCTGGCGCAGGCCCCGGCCCAGCGCAGTGGCAGCAGATGTTCCACCAGGCTGGGCTGCTCAGGGCCGTGTGCTGGGAAGGGAAGGACCCATTTGGCACGAGCGCTGTGTATCTGTTGCCAGTAATTATTATTTTTGTTTCCGTTTAGTTCCTGGAGAACATTCATTTTGCCAGTTTCCTTTTTTTTAATATTATTTGCAAGATGACTTGAGAGCAAACCTGTGTTCACTAGGGGTTTTATTTCCTTCCTTCTTACTTTTGGAGATACGGTACAAGTTCCAGTGTCTTTCTATTAAATTATTGCCTTTTGTTTTCCTTTGTTTTGTTTTGTTGTGGGTTTTTAATACAATTGTTTTCTTATCTTTAAGTGCCTTTTTGAGCACCAGAACAAACAGTTGGAGTTCAGGCCTGGGAACTGTACACACATGGGTTCGTCTGGGCAGTTGTGTTGTGCTGGGGGCGATTGCTTTTAAAGTCCTTCCATTTTTCTGTTTGATGAAAAGGGAACCAAGACTTTTTGTTGGAGAATAAACTCCCCCTTTGTAATACAGTATTCCAAGTGTAGTTTTAACTACTGTAAATTTAAGGGAAGAAATGTATTTTTCTGTAAGCGAACTTGGCACAAAATTGAGCCACGTACATTGTAGGAGCATCATAACTGGAACCTGCTCATGGTTTGTGAGTAACCAACCCTGACCCTCGGTACCGCCCCGAGGGCACAGACTGCATGTGGGCCTCAGAGTTCACAGAGTTTCCCTGTGCCAGCCCAGGGCCGGGAGCGGGGTGGGGTGTGCTCCTGCCCCCCTGCAGCACCGCGGGCGAGGGGCCGCGCAGCCCCCGGGACCCCCAGCCCTGAGGGGGGCGGCTGTTCCTCTGCTGTGCAGAGCGAGCGCCAACCTTGGCCCGGCTCCCTCGGCCCTGCCCCGTCCATCCCGTGTGCCGGGGCAGTTTGGCCCTCGCCTGCCCTCACCAGGGCCTGGCATGGCCTGTGATGGTGCTGACCAAGTGTGATGGTACCGCAGCAGCCCCTTCCCTGTACGGACCCTCAGCGGCGCGCGCGGTGCCGGGGCGGCGATGACAGTGCACTTTGTTCCTTAGGCTGAAGTCCCCTGGTAGGTCGTTTTTGTAACCCCGGGTGTGTCATTTAACTAGCGGTGTTGTGGTTCTCGGGGGCGGCAGTAGATGTCCCGAGTCTGATGTGCTTCGCGTGGCTGGGCCGTGAGCTGTGGTGGGGACGGGGTTGGTTACGCCGGGCAGCCGTGGGAGACTGTGGCTGCTGCCCCTTGTACCGGTCATCCTCCTCCTCCCCGGTGTTGTCTCTGTAACGTATGGTGAGATGCCGTCAGCTAGAGTGTCTGAGTGGGTCCTTGTGTGTGCTGGTGATGCCATGTAGATGAAGCAACTGGTTGGGTGTGGACTCATCCCGTTGAATAAACTGCTTAACTTTTCTCAAAAACGCTGTCTGTGATTTGCTGCCTCTTGCCTGTGCCTCTTGCCCAGCCCTCATCCCACAGCCCTGGCCAGCGGTGTTGGCCAGGGTGTCCTCCAGAGGCCTGTGCCACAGCCCATAGTCCCTCCTGTGCTGGCAGGCAGCCGTGGTACCAGTGGCCACATCTCTGCTGATCCTGTAGCTGCTCCCCATGCCCATGGATGCTCACCAGCTGACTTTGTGTGTCCTGCTGCGTGTGTTTGGATGGGCCACCCCGAGCTCAGATGGGCTCTTTCTTCTCAGCCCTGGGCCTATGGTGCAAACATGCAGGGGAGAGGGACGTAGGCCAATAGAAAACCCACCCACCAACTCCAAGGGGTGAGAATTTGCCTATTTCCATTAGCATGGCCAGACCTGTGCTGGTCTGTGCTAGCCGAGAAATGTCCCCCTGTGTTGGGAACCCCCTGCCCTGGCACTGGGGACACATCACACAGGTCTGGGAAGGGGACCATGCCCACAATACACAAGTGATGTCAGACAAAAGTAGATGTAAAAATGAACTTAAAGGCAATTTAGTGCTCACTCCGTGCCAAATGAGACAAGAGCAATGACCTCCCAAAAGGGAGGACTGAGCAGCTTGGTAGCAATTGGTCCCCAATGGGAACCCCAGCCCTTGGGACAGCCCACCTTGGGTTTTATAGAATCAACTGGAGCCAGGTCAGTGACATGAGAACTGCAGCGAGCACAGGACATCGTCCATCACAGCCCACTCCATGCTGGCTCAGCCCCGCAGTGTGTCTGGTGTCCTGCAGGGAGGTGCCCAGGTGGCACAGCCCTGCCCAGCCCTGCCAGCCCCTATCATCACTGTCTGGTCACCACGCCAGTCACCCCTCAGCCAGGCTCTGCTGCACTGCAGCTCTAACCCGGGTCATCACCAGATACAGTAAAGCAACACTTGAACAGCTTTCTGATGCACCTGCACTGCTGGGTCAATCAAGGGTCTATCCTGCATCCAAATCAGTCTGTGCTGGAATCCCTCTTGAGTTGGGAAGGTCCCCACAGCAATGCTGGCACTTAATGAGCCAAATGAAGCCTTTGCCTGAGAGTAAATGTCACTGTTATCAGTAAATTGACAACTGATTTCCAAATAAAAGTCCCTGTTCTCCAGTACTCCTAATCCAGGCTCATGTGAAGCTGTTCATCCTCCCTTTGATGAGGCTTTTAGTGCCACAACTGGGGTAGTAAATGGGCCCTGTGTCCTTTCCCTCCATCCATCCATCCCCGAGGTGGGGCTGCTGCAAACACAGGTGGCAACGCTCGAGCAGAGGTTTGTGTGGGCCAGGAGCCGGGGGAGGATTGGCTCAGCCGCAGGTGGGGCTTGACCTGCATCACCCCTCCTTAAATTCGGTTAATGAGCCCAGTGCCGGGTGTGCTCTAGGTTGCCAGTCCCATCGTGGTCCGTACCCCTCACCCGCCCTCTCCCCAACAGCCGGACGCGCCCAGAGAGCCGCCGGCCTGTTGCTGCCACAGCCCGGTGCCCCCTGAAGGGGGGCCCGGGCCGGGAGACTCCTGGGCACGGTCCTGCGGGAGAGCTGGGGGGGATTCCAGCGGGTCCGCGGGCAGCAGCGGCGTGTGGAGGGACGGGGCCCTGAGCGGACTCTCGAGCACGTCAGGTGTGTGCCAGGTACGTGCCAGTACGTGGCCAGGATACGCTGCCAGCGTACGTGCAGGTACGTGCCAGGTGTGTGCCACGGTGTTGCAGGTTGTCCAGTGTTGCCTGCCAGGTGTATGCCAGGTGTGTGCCAGGTACGTGCCATGTACTTGCAGGTCTGTGCCAGGTTTAGTGCCAGGTGCCTGTGCCAGGTGTTGCCAGTAACGTCCAGTACAGTGCCAGGTACGTAGCCATGTACGTGCCCAGGTACTGCCGGGCGTGCCGGCGACTCCTCAGTGTCCTCTCCCGTGCGGGCCCGGGGGGCCCGCCCGGTCCCCCTGCCGTTGTCCGCCCGGCGCCGCCAGGGCAGCAGGCGCCCCGGACGCGCCAGAGCGGCGGGGGAGACCGACCCTGGGGGGGGAGCCAGCCCTGAGGGGACCGGACCGAACCCCATCCCTGAGGGGACGATCCGACCCATCCCTGAGGGACCGACCGGACCCCATCCCTTGAGGGACGACCGACCCCATCCCTGAGGGGACCGACCGACCCATCCCTGAGGGGACCGGACGACACCCCATCCCTGAGGGCGACCGGACCGACCCCATCCCTGAGGGACCGACCGACTCCCATCCCGGAGGGGACCGGACGACCCCATCCCTGACGGGACCGGACCGACCCCATCCCTGGACGGGAACCGGACCGACCACCATCCATGACGGGACCGGACCGACCCATACCCTGACGCGACCGACCTCCCCGCACGACCACCCCCCGACCGCACCGACATCCCCCCCAGGCCCGACCCTCCCCTGTTCCGGACCGACCCCCTCGGGATCGCCCCGACCCCTCCCGGGGCCGCCCGTCCTGGCCCGTCCCGGCCGCTCCCCCCGCCCCGCTCGGTAATCATTAACTCTGGGCATAAACAACGCACTGAGTTGTTTATTCATTAATTTCCACGGGCCGAATGCAGCATTTGCATTATAAGTCGCTTTCCACGCTGCCGCTCGGTGACACGTGTGTTGGGTTCCCTCGGAAGCCAGAAATACCGGTGAGCTTTGGAAGCACGTCCCGGTGCGGCTCGTGGGAACGATCCGGGGAAGCATGTTCCAGGTGTGGTTTAGGTGTGCTGTACTTGTGTTCTTGGTGTATTCCAGGGATGTTCCAGGCCAGCCCTGCTCTCCTCTGGTGAAGAGGAATAGCACAGCACTTGCTTTTGACTCTGTGGGTGCTCCTGGACCGATGGGGCTCCGGAGCGTGGCAGTGCTGGAGTTTGGCAGTGCCTGGCTTTGCCTCTGCCTCGCCAGGACCTCATTTAACTCTAGACCCCCCTAAGGTGCTGAAATGAACCCTCAGCCTCCTCCACTCATCCCCGTGGTAACTGACTGCCAAGGAATGCTCTGAGGGTGATTCACCTTTGATTTAGGTGGGTCCAGCAACTGAATACTTGGATGGATCCAAGAGCCACGCACTGTATGTGCTCCAAGGGGCACCTAAGGGCATTCTGGCACTTGTCACACTCGTGGCTAATGAATGAAAAAATGAGATAGAAATGAAATGTGAAGGAAACGATGCAGAATTTAGTGATTAATGCTTTGAACCTGGACTTGAAGTGCAGCAAGAGCTCTCAATCCTGCTGACTGAATTAAATAATCCAAATTACTAATACATTTTAGTATTTTTTTTTCCTATGAAAAGACATTAAAGTGCTTTTAGGAAATGAGGTAAAGATTTTCCATCCATGTTTAAAACTAAAACAGAACACTGCTGTGGGTGCCCAGAGCCTGCAGTGAGCTCATGGCACAGGCTGTGCACGGCCACCCATCTCTCCTGCAGCCTGTCCTGCAGTGCCCCGGGAATGGCTCTGTTAGGGGCATCTGCATGAAGCCATGGGCCACCCTGGGGAGCCACCATCGAGCCCAGGTGGAGAGAGGAGCATCCCCTCCCAGTGAGAGCCAGGGCCCTGTGGGGTGGTCTGGGGACACCCGAGGGTGGTGGCTTAACCTATCCCAGTTTGCAGGGATTTTACAGCCCCTGCTGTTGTTTCAGCTCAGACAGGGCTGTGGGGCCCTTTGGGCAGCAGCTCTGACCTGCCTGGAGCTTCCCCTGTCTTGTGGACGGTTGAGAGATGCTCTGTTGCATTGGCTTGTTTGTTGAGGAGGTGTATTAATTGCTAAGGGTGTATATTAATTGCACCCTCATCACTTGTGGCTGGACTGTGCCCATGTTGGGCCACTTAGTGCCCTTTTTCCTCCCTGATCCCCTCTGCCCTTGGTGTCTGGGGCTGCCCAGCAGTTCAATCCCCCAGGGTAGAGCAGTGGAAGCGACCACAGCCCCAGGCACGTGGTAGATATTTTGCTGTGTGGATACCCATATGTTTGGAGTCTGTCTCTGTGAGTATATGTTTAATTTCTTGTGGAGAGGAGAACGGACTTACCCGATGAGACCGATTCTCGAAACTGGTGAAGTGTTTTTTAGAAGTCAGTTCCCCCTGGCCCTGCTGGGGGTAGCTCAAGGGAGGGGGCTGGCACCAGCTAGTCAGGTCCTGCTGGGTTTTGGTGCATTCTGGGTTTGGTTTTAATTTTAATCTTTTTCTTTGAATGTCTCTCTCCCTGTTCCAGCACAAGCCTGAACAATGTCCCCATCTCCCTGGAGCACAGCCCTTCCCTAGGCTCATCAGTACTGATTTGGGGGGAGCCCATCTGCTGGGGGGGTGCTCCCAGTGCCACTGGTGGAGCCCTCGGCTGTTCCCACCCTCCCTGCCCACTGCTGGGCTCCAGTGGGACGTGGAGCAGATAGGGCTGTGTGCCTGCTCCATCAGGGAGGTTGTGCTGTCTCCTGTGCCTGAGCACAGAGCACAGGCACAGAGGGAAAAATAAGAGCATTTCCCCAACTTTTGATAACTTTTTTATTTCCACTTAATATACACCTACAGCCTCACTATAGAAACATTGGAAACCAGACTTTAGCAGGCCTTGGGGACTGCAGCATTATCCATCTTCTGTAAATACTGCAGAGCCGTGTGCTGTTGGAAACCTTTTTATGATCACAGCTCAGCTGGAAAGTAGCACCACATTCCCACTGTGCTTTGGAATCACTTCCTTTGCTGGTGGGGTGGAGGGCAGCAGCTGTTGAAGTGTTTTGGTTTAAGTGTTTCATGAGATAAAAGTGTAATTGTCTGGATTTTAAATATATCTCATGCACTGAGATCAGTGTAAGTATTGCAGGTAAACCAGCATTGCTTTGTGCCACAGAGATGCCACTTCCCTCCTCAGGAATATTCCAGAGACTTGGGCTTGTAGTCCTTGATGCTGCAAAGTTAGTGGAGGTTTGTGTCTTAGAAACAGAGCTCCAGCTCTGAGCAAAGCTTATCCCAGAC